CCACCAGCCGGTGTTGACGGAATGGCAGCTGTGTCCCTTGATTTTCAAGGGGAATTGTCAGGTGTGGGACAGACCTATTATAGACCTGTTTGCCACTTCCCTGAACAACCAGCTGCTAACCTTCGTCTCCCCGGTCCCAGACCGTAAGGCGTGGGCTGTGGACGCCCTTTCTCTGGAATAGGAAGGGACGTATGCATATGCATTCCCTCCCTTCAACCTGGTGGGCAGGGTTCTACAGAAGTTCTGGGAGCATCACTGCTCCTTACTTCTGAGAGCCCCTCTGTGGCCGAGGCAAGCTTGGTTTCAGGAGCTCTTGTCGTTTCTGGTGGAGGAGCCCTTGGCTCTCCCCACCAGACCGAATCTCCTTCGCCAGCCTTGGCCCAGAACGACACACTCTTGACCAGAGATCCTCCACCTTCACGCGCTGAGGCTATCTCTGGAAGCCACGCCAAGGCAGGCTTTTCTCAAGAGGTGTCAGATTGCATTGAGCAATCAATCAGGGCTTCCTCTTCTGCCGTCTACCAGTCACGTTGGATGATCTTCTGTGATTGGTGTGTCGGCAAGGAAGCTTATTCATTCGAAGCCTCTGCATTTGATTGCGGAATTCCTAATCTCTCTGTTTAGGTACCGCTATCTGCCACCTGGCACTATTGCTGGCTATCGTACAGCTATTGCCAGAGTTCTTGCTTGTTATGGCAGGAAGGAGATCGGTTAGTCCTCCTCTCTTTCTGCCCTAATCAGAGGCTTTGCTATGAATAGAGTTGTTTTTAGCGAAGAATCAGGTTCCGGGGTTCTCGCACGATCCCATCAGGATCCTGGCTGTGACTAGCTCGGAGGAGCGAGATAGGTTGCTTTGTCCTTGTCGGGCTCTTAGGTTTTATCTTGATAAAACCAGGGGGGGGCGGGGCTCTCGATCCCGTCTGTTTTGCCCATTAAACAGGGGCAACGAGATATCTCCTCCCAGTCGGTTTCCAGGTGGGTTTGCCAGGTGATTTAGTATGCTTACGAGCATTTTGATGATCTGGCTCGGGCGAGAGTGAAAGCGCGGTCTCACGAGGTCAGGGCCCTTGCTTCATCGTGGGCCCTTCTCTCAATGAGTCCTCCTTTCAGGAGGTCATGTCTGCAGTATTCTGGCAGGGCAGGGATACCTTAACAGATTTTTATCTGTGATCCCTAGCTTCCCACTCAGAAGGCCTGTATTCATTGGGACCTTTGGTGGTGGCATAGTCAGTGGCTGGGCCTCCTCGTTAGCCCCGGGCCATGTCTTTCCGTACGGCGGCATGTGGGTACACCTGCTCTTTCACAGAGAGGTCCCTTCCTTCACTTTAGCACTCTGTTCTCCCTCCCTACTACTTTGGTTGTGCTGAAGGGGCTGCCTGGCTTCTAGTCACCACTACGGTAAGACGAATTCGCATACTAAAGTTATGGTAATTATTACTGAAATGAAATTGAGGTTTTTTTAATGTAAAACCAATTTTCATGATGTAATACTTACCATAACTTTATGGAGTCCCACCCTATCCTCCCCTCTTCCTTATCTGCCTGGCTGCCCCTCTGTGGGGTTTACGCCATAAAGGTTATTAGAGGAAGGGAGATCACTCTGCGTTCCTGCCGTGATGGCTCATGGATCGTAGGGAGGGCGGGATTGTTTTTCTTTTGAATCTTTTGTTGTTGGGATACAAAGATGGGTGTAGGTACTGTATTTGCATACTAAAGTTATGGTAAGTATTACATCATGAAAATTGGTTTTACATTAAAAAAACCTCAAATCAGTACATCTGTTTGGCTTAATCAAGTGTGACCATACCTGTATTGATGTATTACCTATATATAGCTATCAGCTGTGTGCATTATTTCTGCAATGGTATATACACAATGTTTGTGTCTGAGTATCGCATGACCATTAAGACTGTTGCTAGTAGATAGGTATACATGTATGTATATGTTAGGTGTTTGGCACCGTAATGTTTGGAATGAGATTGATCAGTTGGGGATAGATATATATTTAAAAAGATGTTTATTTTTAGTACAGCTAGTAATTGATTTCTTCTAATCAATATTTTTTTGCTGTTTATGCTAAAAATAAACATCTTTTTAAATATATATGTATTTAATAGTTGTGTGGTTTGTAATGGCATTGCTACATTTGTATTTGTATCACCAACAGTGTGTAAGCTGGATATGATATTACTGTTAAAAAAGGATTCACCACGTCATGTTTATACCATTATAAAAACAGTATACATCAACTTCTTATTGCTCTCAGGTATTTGGAAAGTTATATCTATGGTATAAAGTTATATCTATAGGTACATATTGGAGAAACTACGAGTGCAATTACCGGCAATACATGATTTGAATTTTTAAAGATATTATGGTCACAATTTATGGATAAAGTTGTATCTATGGTATAAAGTTATATCTATGGTATAAAGTTATATCTATGGTATAAAGTTATATCTATGGTATAAAGTTGTATCTATGGTATAAAGTTGTATCTGTGGTATAAAGTTGTATCTATGGTATAAAGTTATATCTATGGTATAAAGTTGTATCTGTGGTATAAAGTTGTATCTATGGTATAAAGTTGTATCTGTGGTATAAAGTTATATCTATGGTATAAAGTTGTATCTATGGTATAATGTTATATCTATGGTATAAAGTTGTATCTATGGTATAAAGTTGTATCTATGGTATAAAGTTATATCTATGGTATAAAGTTGTATCTGTGGTATAAAGTTGTATCTGTGGTATAAAGTTGTATCTGTGGTATAAAGTTATATCTATGGTATAAAGTTATATCTGTGGTATAAAGTTATATCTATGGTATAAAGTTGTAGATGTCAGAGTAGTAGGTCTTAAAAAGCAAACAACTTTGGAGCACAAGCATTTAACAACTATTAGCTGTACAAAAGTGTGGATGATATATTGGTATATGTACATAGATGGCTATCATAAAGCAGTATAAATGTGTAGCTATAATATATACTGCTAAATATGTAGCTATTGTTTAGTTACTGAAGGTGTAGCTATTGTTTAGCTACTGAAGATATAGCTATTGTTTAACTACTGAAGGTGTAGCTATTGTTTAGCTACTAAAGGAAGGTGTAGCTATTGTTTAGCTACTGAAGATATAGCTATTGTTTAGCTACTGAAGGTGTAGCTATTGTTTAGCTACTAAAGGAAGGTGTAGCTATTGTTTAGCTACTGAAGATATAGCTATTGTTTAGCTACTGAAGGTGTAGCTATTGTTTAGCTACTAAAGGAAGGTGTAGCTATTGTTTAGCTACTGAAGATATAGCTATTGTTTAGCTACTGAAGGTGTAGCCATTGTTTAGCTACTGAAGGTGTAGCTATGTTTAGCTACTGAAGCTACTAAAGATGTAACTATTTTGCAGCTACTTAAGGTATACCTACAAACTTGTTGGATGAATTTACAACAACATTGCTGTTGAAGCTGCATCCAAGTTTGCATCATTTTTGCTTCAGCTGTACAAAGATATAGCTTAACAAATGTAAAGCTACTACCTAGCTGTATAAAAATGTAGCTGCATCTTAGCTGTAAGGTATAATGATACATTATAATGCAAGTATCAACCACAACAAGCTCAGGATAAGTTGGTGGTAGGTTAGTAACAGTTGATACCTTCGTTGTTAGTCCCTAATCCTCAATCCCCCTTGCATACCTGGTGGTATCCAAGCAAGGGATATCAGGAACACCCTTATCTACACCCAGCAACACGATGTTGGCTCTAATCATTGTGTTTACTTCTATGATACATTATAGATTCAGTGTGATGTGTATCCATCATAATTAACAGATATAGTAAAATATCTCTTGATATGAAACAAGATAAAGAACAATCTACATTCTATTGTCTAATCTGATAGATATCTGGACTTTTATGGACAGGTGTGCATTAATGATACATTAATTTTGATTTAATAGACATATTGATATAACGGACATCATGTTTTTTTGTTTTTAATTTACTGAAAATACCATTAAATAGACATACTGTAATATACACTATGACCTGACCATCATATTTTGATATTCAGACTCTATTTATTGTGCTTTTAAATTTCTCTATTTTGTCACCACTATTGGTGGTGAAAAGGTTGTTGGATAGAGTTATAAAAATGCTCTGTAGTCATTTGGAACAGTTGTTATTTATAAACAAAATCCTTTTTGCAAGGACAAATATGTAAAACCCATTGCAGATTTCTTGATGCTGAAATACCATGTTCCCCCACTCACTATGGCTGGATAGCATCTACCATGCTTTCATTCATTTTAAAACAAACTACCATCTTATATCATGAGTTATCTCCCCTCACTTAACAATGATGCATGTTTTAGCAGCATCACATCACTGTGTGGGTCCCTGCTGCACTCTATACTAATAATAACAAAACCAAACTCCTCAAGATGTTGTTTTCTCACTTTCAGTTCACATCCTAAACTTTGTACTGATATGTAACATGTCATATGTTTGCAATAAATTAGAAACACTTTACTATATTGTAAATATATTCTCAAAACTAACTGACAGCACAGTGCGGTAAAATATGTGTTATATGATATATCTAGTAATTATGTAAAAATCCTCATTTTAATAATTAATATCGTATTCTGTAAGTCAAGTAGCCAGTATAGGTTGGAACTATCAGGAACACACTACTAGTATATTAAAATCAAGAAAAGAAATGAAAATGTAGTGAATAAGGTTGGCATGGTCCTAAAGGAAAAAACCCATTTGTGAAGAACAAGACAGGGATAAAACATTAAGTAAAATGTGATAATGAATATTACTATGTAATTTTTTGAGAAGGAATCTTTGATATTCAAGGGCAAGATAATATGTGTTTGTAGCCTTAAAGGTGCTGAACTACAAAAATATCTTAAAGAGTAAATTACTGTAGGTAACATTACATAAATAAGGAAATTAATGTCCATCAATCAAATAATTCACAGACGATCATTAGCTGTAACTTACCTTAACCTGTACAGGTAACCGCTCGGCTAGAATCCCCGGATTCATGATTACGTGTTGGGATTCCATTTTAATCCCATTTGGTTTGGTAACAATATTGAAACTTAATGATATAGTATTGTGGAAAGCTGATCATATTATTAGCAGCACGCCATTCAGGGGCAGTAACTCAACTCAGCAACGAATTGTAAGTATGTAATATGTAATGATCATCTTACTTAGTTCTTGTCGAGCTTCAACAGATCATTAGCATTTTGAAAAATTTCTTTTGTGTTTGAGTTTTTTTTTCAGGTGAATGTCTTTAATTTTTTGTCTGTGTTTATAAATTGGCGATATATTGCAAGATTGCCTTCCGATGCTGAAGTAGGATCAATAAGTGTGTTCTCGCAAGAATGTGAAGTGAATGCCCTAAAGCTAGTTATAATGGATTTATTCAGCTGGCCCGTAGTAGATCTGGAAGGATTGAATCATTAGATGTAATTCACTCAACTTATATTTTTATATTTGATTTAATTAGATTAGACAATGATATGAATAAAAAATTTGAAGCCACAAATCTGAATCAGTCTGTGGAAATATTTTGAAGTTGTTGCCATGTAAATGAAAATTTTAGGATTTTGTTTTGACATGGTTTCGCTTCATTGATTTGATACAATGTTAATTACCTTTTATCATGAATGTGGTAATGAATTGATTACTTTACAATCACAGGTATGTGGAATTTGAGTTTAATTAAATTATTGATCAATTCTGTTAATTGGAAACTTTATTCTTCAGAATAAAAATAAATTTTCATTCAAGTGGTATTTCATGGTCGTACAAGTTACATCCGAAAAGGACAACATGATACTTTAAAATGGGATAAACCTACAACCTGTTATCATGGCATGGCTGTTGCTTCTATATTTAAACATTGGTGTGATTTATTGGTAAATTTGTACAGTCATTGCTTGTGGAAACATTGATTAACTCCCCTTTGTGTCAAACTATCTGAGATATCACAGATATTGTCTCCTGTTAATGTACTGTTATATATATATATATTATCTATGATATTGATTGTCTCCCCTTTTTATAAATCTGTACTTGAATGACATTGATAGTAATTGTCCGTCCCTTGTGAAACGGTAATTTTGATTGCTTCTGTTTTGTAGAAAACTCTACTAGTAATGATGGTCTTCCTTACTGTAAAAATCTCAATACCTGTATTGTTGACATTGATTGTCTCCCTTTTGTGTAGATATTTATACATGTGATGTTGACAGTGATTGTCTCCCCTTTGTTTAAATATCTATACATGTAATGTTGACAGTGATTGTCTCCCCTTTGTTTAAATATCTATACATGTAATGTTGACAGTGATTGTCTCCCCTTTGTTTAAATATCTATACATGTGATGTTGAAAGTGATTGTCTCCCCTTTGTTTAAATATCTCTACCAGTGATGTTGACACTGTTTATCGACCCTTTGTTAAAAAATTGTCCTTGTGGTTTTGACAGTGATGGTGACTGGGACTTTTATTGGTGTGACCGAGAGTGGCTCCACCAGAATTACGACACCATGTTCCTCCATGAACACCAGAAAATTCTACACTTTCGTAACCACTATGAGGTATAAATTTTTCATTTTAACTAAACACTCAGAAGCATTTTCTATAGTGTAGGCTCTTTATGTAGACATTTACTTTATTGTAACTTAATTTTATAAGTTTTCCAAAGTTAGATAAGTTACTTAGCTTTGCCTACATCTGAAATAGTAACATATATAAAGTCATACCATTGTCTCTCATATACAAATACTTCAGGAGTCAGTGTGAAAATGGTGGATCCAAGGTACTGATATTGATTGTCTGTTGTTCCTTTCTCTTCGTTTGGAAGAAATTTCATTAAAATGTATTTGTAAAATTACATCAAATGAGATTGATTTTTGGGGTTATAGATTTAATATCTAGAAGAGCTGACATAGTCAGAATGTCAATGTTATACTTCAACAACATTCTTCTTTAGAAATTTTTTCAGTAAAATATCATGTGTACAGAAAATTCCAGAAAGAATAAGATTTCCTTATCATCAGAACTATAAATGTAGGAAATTATCATTTAATCAGAATAATGAAATTGAGAACTGAGAATTTTCTAAATCAAATTTTACAGTTGACAAGAAAAAATCTGATGGTTAAAAATCTTAAAAGACTGAAAAAGCAGACAGAAAGAGAACAGGGGAAATCTGAGGGACTAAGGTAAGAAAGAGGACAAAGGAAGGGAGTCTGTAGGACTAAGGTAAGAAAGAGGACAAAGGGAGTCTGTAGGACTAAGGTAAGAAAGAGGACAAAGGAAATCTGAGGGACTTAGGTAAGAAAGAGGACAAAGGAAGGGAGTCTGTAGGACTAAGGTAAGAAAGAGGACAAAGGGAGTCTGTAGGACTAAGGTAAGAAAGAGGACAAAGGAAGTCTGTAGGACTGAGGTAAGAAAGAGAACAAAGGAAGGGAGTCTGTAGGACTAAGGTAAGAAAGAGGACAAAGGAAATCTGTAGGACTAAAGGAATAAAAAGAAAAATGGAAATCTGAGGGACTGAAGTTAAAGATCACTTGGCTTTAGGTTGTATAGCATGGTGATGTACTTACATAGACATTACCTCCAATGTCAACTCTCTTTTATCCAACACTAAGCTAAACAAACTGAATTTATGTATAAGAACATCCACTCATGACCCTCCCACATGCTTTGATGTACCTGTCTACTTACTTGTCAAATATGAGAATCATTTGGATATAAATATATATATATATACACGTTAGATAAAGGAGTAGAGTATCCTGTCCACACTGTTGTTCACACATAAGTGATGTTTGATAATTAGTAAACACACTACCCAGATTATAGGACGAAAGGGAAATTCTCATCAAGAAGGTGATACATACTTAGTAGAATTATCCTTAAGTAAAAATAGGCTGTATCAGCAGTAAATATAACAGATAGATAACTACACAGATCAAATTTTCAAAAGTCATTTATAGGGCTCACTGTTTACTTTAAATACTGTATCTATGGAGATGACTGGCCATTAAATGTTGACGTTTTATGTCCCAAATCTAGTGTGTCCATACTGTAAAATCCTGTTTTCACATGGTTTAATTTTCATCATTTTTCAATGTTTTCACAGAATCCCAGCTTTCCATAAATCTATCTACTTTATTCAGATATCTTTACAGTATTATAAATATTTTTTCTGTGATGTCTTTTACAGTTTTGATTTCCATCCGACGACCTATGAACTTCCAGTAAGTATAAATTCAGACTTTGAAATAGAATAAGTAAGATGATGTTTGTTCAATTCATGATTTTGTCAAAAAATAACTGAAAAAGAAGGTTCTCAATTAAAGTACATACATTGATATCAGTATTGTGTACACCATTAGTGGTACCAAACACACATGTATATATATCTATTTCAGTCTGAGTACCATGTACACCATTAGTGGTACCAAACATACATGTATATACATCTATTTCAGTCTGAGTACCATGTACACCATTAGTGGTACCAAACATACATGTATATACATCTATTTCAGTCTGAGTACCATGTACATCATCAGTGGTACCAAACACACATGTTTATACATCTATTTCAGTCTGAGTACCATGTACACTATTACTGGTACCAAACACACATGTATATACATCTATTTCAGTCTGAGTACCATGTACACCATTAGTGGTACCAAACATACATGTATATATGTTGATTTCAGTCTGAGTACCACATATTTGTGGAGGAATTCAAAAGAAATCCTGGCATTACCTGGATCATGAAGCCAGCAGCCAAATCTCAGGGCAAAGGCATATTTCTCTTCCGGCGACTCAAGGACATCACAGATTGGAAAAAGGTACATTATATAGATATTGGTTTTCATGATATATAACCAGTTGCCTGATCCCTATGAAAGCTTATATGAAATATATGTCTTCTAAGTTATTTTGACACTGATTTATGTAAATTTTTCAGAACATCAAAGAAAATGATATATCCATGTCTGACAATAAGCTTATCTATGTCTCTAAAAGGATTTGTGAGAATGCTGTAATAAAGCCAACTTACTCTTAGAGTTGAAGTTTGTGTGAAGACCTCTAGGTTAATTACAGGATAAGTACAGTATATATATCATTTTTTGTCACCAGGGAGAGTATCAGCCCCTTACTGATACAACTAGAGAGGTCCCAGAGACGTATGTCGTACAACGCTACATAGAGAACCCGTACCTTATAGGGGGTCGCAAGTTTGACATCAGGATCTACGTCCTGGTTGTCTCTGTAAGTACCTAGTTTGATGTATTGTGGGAAATATTCTCTGCCTTCTTTGTGATTAATAATGATGATATATTCCTTATTTGGATGAACTGTTATATCTACGTATTTGTTGTGTTACAGTACAACCCCCTAAAGGTATGGCTATACAGGGACGGATTTGCCAGATTCTCCAACACAAGATTTTCTCTGGACTCCATAGAAGATGCCTGTATCCTTACTATCTAATTAAACTTTACTGGAATCTTGGCAGAAACTGTGAAGTCTACAATAGCCTTAATATATCATTCATCTGCTGTTTTCTTCCTTCATGTAGCTGTGTATTATTGTTATCATTGTTAAATATTTGGTTTTTCCTTGTCTGTAGTATTATAACATCTACATATAAGGTCAAGCTTAAGCCCGTTATAATTTGGGAAAAGTCTTTTTTTTCTATTCTATGTAAAAAGCTGTATTCAACAAAAATAACTTTTTATTTCTTCCCTGTGTTAATAAATTTGTCTGTCTAGTTCTACTATCAGCTGATATTCCTTAGCGCCTCTTAGATGTCCACCTGACTAATGTGTCTGTACAGAAGAATGCTCCAGATTACGATCCTGAGAAGGGCTGCAAATGGTCCACACTGAGGCTACGTCAATACTTGTCAGCCAAACATGGCTCAGAGGCGGTAGGTACTACTTATCATAAACAACAAGACATCACTGTCCCACAAGTGTATGGCCATTTGATTGACCTGTTTTTTTTCTATTGCATGCAAAAACAAGCAGCAGAGAGAATTTTAACATATTGCTAATGTAAAAATATTATAAAAGTGTATGAAGCAAGTGGCTCATTTGTGTCAAAGAGATTGAGGCAATAAAATAGAAGTTCTTATAGCACAACTAGTAGAAGAGATTGGGGCAGTAGAATAGAAGTTCTTATAACACAACCAGTAGAAGAGATTGGGGCAGAAAAATAGAAGTTCTTGAAACACAACTAGTAGAAGAGATTGGGGCAGAAGAATAGAAGTTCTTAAAACACAACCAGAAGTTTTAAATGTGAAATTGAGGGGCTTCATGCAGAATATATAGAACTATCTGAAGGTCTGGAGAACTTCTAAATGTCAAAGACAGTATGTTAATATGTGTCAGAAAAAGCTAAATCAAAAGTAAATATTCTGAAAATTAATTTGCATATAAAACTGTTTCAGGTGAAGAAAATATTCAAAGGTATTGACAATATCATCACCAAAGGTTTACAAAGTGTTCAGAAAATTATCATCAATGACAAGCACTGTTTTGAGATGTATGGTTACGACATTCTGCTAGACAGCGACCTCAAGCCGTGAGTTTGATATCATAAAACATTACAGAGAAATGTGAATCCATCTATTGTGTCATGTCACATATCTTTGATTAGTTAAATCAATGTATTTTTTTTATTGTATTTCAAAATGAAATCATAAAATGCACAGCTACAACCAACAATAAATTTTCAGCTTATGTTTCAAAATAATCACAATAAGTTACAATTAGTATAGTTAATTAATCATTCATTATTAATTACAATGATGATTTTTTGTTGCTATGATACAAGTTGATGGTGTCATGTATTTCTGTAACAAATAATTCTTTAATAAAAAGATGTTGCTAAGATGTTTACTTATTGTAGTGATAATCATATTTTTATTGCTTTGATGACTATTTGGATCTTTGATCAATATTGCTGTGTGTGTATTGATGACCTTTGCCTGTATTGATGACCTTTGCCAGTTTTGATGACATGGCTCTTTATAACCTTTGTTCTGTAGGTGGCTGATAGAGATCAATGCCTCCCCGTCTCTCACTGCCAGTGGCAAAGAAGATTACGAACTTAAGTTTGGTCTACTGAATGACCTTCTAAATGTCCTTGACCTTGAGAACAGGTGAGTTGCTGCTGGAATTGTTTAACAATAAATGTAATATCCACAACTAAACTTTGAAAAATTAGAGTTAGTTCCCTTTAAATTTAGTACATCACTTCATTGTCTGAAGTAGTGCATTTCAATATTTATATATATATTGATAATAAATATATAATTTTTCAAACTGGAGATAAATTAATGTTTTTTATTTACCTAAAACCTATATGGATATAGTATTACCATATTTATGCAGCAATTAGCCCTAGGCTGGTAATAAGCCCACCCACATCCATTGGAGTTTCAATGGATGACCAACATTTTCTTTATGTTTGTCCTATAGTAGCCCATCCCCCCTACTTTAAGTCAGAGGTAACATGTAGTGGGATAAATACTGTGTAAGAAAATATTGTTAATATCAATAATGAGGAACTGCTTTGTCATGAATTCTGGATGTGACTAACCATTGTTATGCCCTGTTGTAGACTTACTGGTAAGGAGAAAAGGATCGGGGGCTGGGATCTCCTATGGGATGATGGGCCAGTACTAGCGGACGATGGTAACATGGAATGTACAACCAACGGTACCTCGGTCACCACTGCCAACTCCTTCTTAGGTAAATCTATAAATACCTTTTTATCAGATATATATTTTGTAAGTTTAATTTGGAAATATAACAATTGTAATAATTCTTAAAATGAACCATAAAAAGTGAAATAAAATGTCAACTCAGCAGTATTATGGAACATGATTTGATGCCTTCTTTATTAACAGGCTGCCATAACGACAGAAAACGACAGTTACGCGAGATCTACACAGCAGCACAAGCAATCAAAAAGACGTAGAAAACAACGATAACTTGGTACAGATTTACCAATAACTTGTAACCTGGATTAGAGAATGTTGTCTGTTGTTGTAGAACAATAGTTATACTGCTAATCCCTTATAAAGTTGTCCACCATGACTTGGGTTTGGTATGATAAAAAGACCATGTTACAGTCTGTACATCTGATTCATAAAGTCACCAGTTAGTCACTGAAGTTTGGCTAGATCAACTCAAGTTCATATTGGATGCCTAAGGAATCTTAAGAAACTTTTTCTAAGGCTGATGAATCTCTTTGACCCGTTCCAGAGAATTGTGATAATACCCGGTACATACAAACCGTCTGTGATGTGATCGTACATGTGTATATTACAATGATATAAGATAAGCTGTACTAAGGATGTGTGATTATGTACCATGTATGAAGTTGGATCCCCTGATTAAGTAGATCTATATATTTTGATATTTATTATCTTCATTAACACATTTCACTTGCTTTAAATGTTGATGTATTCGTTCAATTATCTGTGTAATTAATGTTGGTATTTCATGTATCTGGTGAAATAAATTTATAATAAAATATGTTTGAATGATTGCCTTTGTCAGGGATTGTATCTCTCCTATCTATCTGAGACAGTACTTATGATCCATCCATTACTGGTATTACATGTGGTCAGTTCCTTACCATCTGGTACCTTATGTAGTTCTAGTACGGGTCATTTCAGAGATGAAGGTGACCCTGAAGTCATTGTCACATTCTAATCTTCTGCTGGTAGTGTTTTAAGATGAAGGTGACCGTATAGTCATCAAAATGTCACACTGTAATATTCTACTGGTTGTGTTATAGCATGAAGGTGACCATGTTGTCATGGAAACGTCACACTGTAATATTCTACTGGTTGTGTTATAAGATGAAGGTGACCATGTTGTCATGGAAATGTCACACTGTAATATTCTACTGGTTGTGTTATAAGATGAAGGTGACCATGTTGTCATGGAAATGTCACACTGTAATATTCTACTGGTTGTGTTATAAGATAAAGGTGACGGTGTTGTCACGGAAACGTCACACTCTAATATCCTACTGGTTGTGTTATAACATGAAGGTGACCATGTTGTCATGGAAACGTCACACTGTAATCTTCTACTGGTTGTGTTATAGCATGAAGGTGACCATGTTGTCATGGAAACGTCACACTGTAATCTTCTACTGGTTGTGTTATAACATGAAGGTGACCATGTTGTCATGGAAACGTCACACTGTAGTCTTCTACTGGTTACGTTATAACATGAAGGTGACCGTGTAGTCATGGAAACGTCACACTGTAATATCCTACTGGTTGTGTTATAAGTTTTTGATTTCCCTGTATACATTATGCATCTCAGTACAATAATGTGTGTACCAGGGAGAGAACGACAACACTGAACACAAAAATGAACATTAGTTATAAACTTTATTCTCCAAATATGATGTCAATTAATAACTGATACATTTAACCATGGGAGACTTATATACAGCCATAAAAATATATATAAGATGTAGTTATAATGTGTATATATACAGGTGTTATGATGTATTCTCTAATACAGTATGAATAATGGTATAAAATCTATCATAGGAGATAAAGTTATTGGGTTAGTTATGCATGTATATGACATTAGCAATATAATTATATATGTTTGTGTTGGATCTATGAAATCATTATTGATCAAGAGAAAATTTGGGACTAACACGACATTAGATAAGAATATATCAAGCATTCATCAATAGTTCTACACACTCAGTGTCAGTATAAAACAGTAAGCTCTGTATTAAATTCTTCAATCTGTTCTATAGACTGGAGAATGAGAACAGCTGTGACTGGGATAAGGCAATTCAATCTGTTTGTTTCTATTGATATACACTGCACTTGGTAAAACAACATCACTGATGTATTAAACACTCATTTAAGTGGCAACTCATCATAGTATAACACACCAGGTAAAGTGGCAACTCATCATAGTATAACACACTAGGTAAAGTGGCAATTCACTTTAGCATAACACACTAGGTAAAGTGGCAATTCACTTTAGCATAACACACTAGGTAAAGTGGCAATTCGCTTTAGCATAACACACTATGTGAAGTGGCAACTCACTTTAGTATTACACACTAGGTAAAGTGGCAACTCACTTTAGTATTACATACTAGGTAAAGTGGCAACTCATAGAATAACACACTAGGTGAAGTGGCATCTCAATTTAGTATTACACACTAGGTAAAGTGGCATCTCACTTTAGTATTACACACTAGGTGAAGTGGCATCTCACTTTAGTATTACACATTAGGTGAAGTAGCAACTCACTTTAGTATTACACACTAGGTGAAGTGGCAACTCATAACAGAATAACACACTAGGTGAAGTGGCATCTCACTATAGTATAACACACTAGGTGAAGTGGCAACTCATAACAGAATAACACACTAGGTGAAGTGGCATCTCGCTATAGTAGAACACACTAGGTGAAGTTGCATCTCACTTTAGTATTACACACTAGGTAAAGTGGCATCTCACTTTAGTATTACACACTAGGTGAAGTAGCAACTCACTTTAGTATTACACACTAGGTGAAGTGGCAACTCATAACAGAATAACACACTAGGTGAAGTGGCATCTTACTATAGTATAACACACTAGGTGAAGTGGCATCTCACTTTAGTATTACACACTAGGTAAAGTGGCATCTCACTTTAGTATTACACACTAGGTGAAGTGGCAACTCACTTTAGTATAACATACTAGGTGAAGTGGCAACTCATAATAGAATAACACACTAGGTGAAGTGGCATCTCACTTTAGTATAACACACTAGGTAAAGTGGCATCTCACTTTAGTATTACACACTAGGTGAAGTGGCAACTCACTTTAGTATAACACACTAGGTGAAGTGGCAACTCAGCATAGTATAACACACTAGGTGAAGTTGCAACTCATAGTATAACATACTAGGTGAAGTGGCAACTCATAATAGAATAACACACTAGGTGAAGTTGCAACTCACTTTAGTATAACACACCAGGTAAAGTGGCAACTCACAATAGTGAAACATACTAGGTTAAAGTGGACACTCACTTTAGTATAATATTACCTGAATTTACTTCATGTAAAAACAAATTACATGTTATACTATGATACAGGTATCAATTGAAGACACCTGTATGTTTAAAGACTTCAAGTGATCCTCAATTACCTGTGAAGCAAAGATGATTACATGATAAATTTATTATCTAGCATGACACACACTGATATCTTAAATTCCTTTGATTCAAACCATATTAATAGAGAGCTCTTCATGATGTTGTGTGTGGAAATTCAAACTGGTTAAAAAGATCAACAAATTGCATACATGTATGTGTACTGCCTTAAACAACTAGGTGGCTCAAGCTTTATCAAAGAAATGACTGAACTTAGTGTTCAAATAAAATATTAACCCTTAAAAATATCCATTAAAACTTTTGTATGAAAATAAACATAAATATAATAATGATTTGAAATGCATGTAATTAAAAACCTACGGATAAAAATTGATATTTAAATGAATCAAGATAAGAGCACATCTGATCACCTTACTTGTGGTTTAGGCTTGAGAATTGTCATCACTTTGACTTTCTGTAATGGAGAAGCAGTATCCTCTCTAACACAATACAAACTCAAGGTTCCTGATTTGGTATCAAACCCTTCATTATATTGCACACATATTATAAAATGAATCACTGAATATAATTATTCTTGAATGGTTTAAAAAAGTTCTCTTAAATGAAGTGTAAAACCACTGGGGTGAAGCTGAATGATACAGGCAGTTCAAAATGACATTATCTATATAAAGATATAAATGTACATCTTATTGATAAAATCACATTTGCTAATTAGGCAGTGCCTATTTTATATCAAATGTAACATGTCACATTCTATAAACAGTGGTCCAAATATCACAATAGTTTTTATATATAACTATACAAAACATCCATATAGTAAGTGATTTTCTTTATATATTAAATCTTCTCTGTATATTATAAATATTAAATTTTGATATTCGTATTTGTCAACATGCATAATTTTTTTTATATCTGCTACTGACACCATTAATACCCTGTATGAGATCGTTTCCCTTCATAAGACTTCACAGTTATTATGTTTTAAACTCCTGCTTGATAAATTTTTCTAAGAGATTAAAAGTAAAACAATGAACAAAATTCTAAAAATGTATTTCAGGAACAAAATGATTCCTTATTTAATTGACTCATGAATATTGGGTGTCTCAATCTTGTCATCAGTGAACATGTCATTTGAATGTCAGGATCACCAATCGTTGGTACAAATATACATTGTATTAAAGCAACCTACATATGACCTTGACAATGACCTTGTCTGGAAGAAAAGAATTGACCAGAACTTGACCATATGATACAACTACATACCTAATTAGTTCTATATCTGTATCTATTAGAGTACATGAGCCGAAACATAATTATGATGGAATGACAAAATGGTGGAATAAAGGCCAAAGGTAACACGATAAATCCCCTGACCATGAAACTGTAGGGGGGCATAAGAAGAACAGTTAAGGCTGATTTAAGGCTTACGAAATAAAACATCTGCATGATTTGTATGTACAGTGTATCAAAACTTGTGACAAGATGGACGGAACAAAGTAATCAACACTCAGTATTATCTACTGATGTTCTCATAGTCATTCTGTCCTGGGTACTCCAAACTAACATGTGAACATTTAAACCAAATGATTTTTAGTCTAGGAAGCACAGTATCTTACAGAGATTTGTCACTAGAAACACGACAAGATGGGATGGACATTTTAAAAAACAAATTGTGTACCATGAACAATGATAAACAACAATATTCTTCCAGAATTCTCACAAGCTGGTGATGATACTACACCACCGTGTACATTCATATATTCTTTTTACAAATCTTCATTACAAACTCCTTTTTAAGACAACATTAATGATAACAGTATTCATGTTAAAATCAGACTGACTTACATAGCATTACATCACAATGATATCTGGTAAATCACAAAACAACAACATGTAAACACATCTCTCTGTAAAATTTGAATTTAATAATGAAAAATTTGATAGATGTCTTTATGAATAGGACTTATCTTTTATGATTTAGATGATTCAATTTTAAGGCAATTGGAAAGGCTCAGTAATAAATGATCACACAGAAATGTATCATACTGGGATTTATCAAGTAAATGTTTGCAGCTACAATATCACTTTTCATGGTCCTAGTAAAAGGTAAAGGTCAGAGGTCATTTTTAAAATTGGCGATCAGAAGTCATGCTTCGTACAAGGAAAGGTTTGTGACATGCCTATGGTTAAGAGGGGTCAGAGGTCATGTATATTGAGAGTGAAGAGGTCACAGCGTCATGTCTATGGTAAAAGGGGCTTTGAAGAATCTTCTGTCATGATCAAGCATGTTTATGATGGAAAGGAAACAAAAGTGATTGTTTGCCTGGTTTGGCTATTTTTCTACTTGAACATTTAAACCAAATGATTTTTAGTCTAGGAAGCACAGTATCTAGTAGTCTGAGAAGTAGGAATGCTGTGCAGAACTTCTGATTGTCTACAGAGATCTGTCTCTAGAAACACGACAAGATGGGATGGACATTCTTCTGTCAGAGATCTGTCTCTAGAAACAAGACAAGATGGGATGGACATTCTTCTGTCAGAGATCTGTCTCTAGAAACAAGACAAGATGGGATGGACATTCTTCTGTCAGAGATCTGTCTCTAGAAACACGACAAGATGGGATGGACATTCTTCTGTCAGAGATCTGTCTCTAGAAACACGACAAGATGGGATGGACATTCTTCTGTCAGAGATCTGTCTCTAGAAACAAGACAAGATGGGATGGACATTCTTCTGTCAGAGATCTGTCTCTAGAAACACGACAAGATGGGATGGACATTCTTCTGTCAGAGATCTGTCTCTAGAAACAAGACAAGATGGGATGGACATTCTTCTGTCAGAGATCTGTCTCTAGAAACAAGACAAGATGGGATGGACATTCTTCTGTTAAGGTTTTTTCTCTGTATAAATTGTCATTTCAATTTTATTTCTTCGTAAAGATTTTGCCACTTCTTGAAAGTGCTATAACATCACAATCTGAGAGCAGTGACAACACACACAAGGTTTTGTAGTAGATAACCATTATTTATAAGGGGATTTAAGAAATACCACTACCAGAACATCAGCCTACTAAAACATAATTCTATACCCTATGGTGTTGGTATGCAGATCACAGACAAACTGGTTCATCATTCACTTAGTTATTTTAAAATTTATGTCTATACTCAAAAACAATAGCTACATAAGCAACATCAGAACACAAGCTATTCAGAAATACATAGCTACAATGGCAACACACTGGCTATATTAGCGACATCAGAACACTAGCTATTCAGAAATACGTAGCTACATTGGCAACTCACTGGCCATATCAGCAACATCAGAACATAACCTCTGGCTAGACTTTGTATGATAATCTCTATATTGCGTATCTTTTGGTATTGGTCACATACATAAAGCCATACAGAACAGTAAATCTCTAAGATTTCAAGGAGGACTTAATACACAACCAAAGCAGTAGCTACCTGAGGACTGTTCATCATAAAATAACCTGTAAATCATCACACTTTATCGTTCATACCATCACTTCTCCTTGTGACAAAATACTTCCGAAAGTAGAGCTGGTCATTTGTTCAGTAGAGCGACATCTGTTCTCCACGAAAGTCCAGGAGAAGCCATTCCACTTTGTGTGTGTGTCTCTGTAAGTACTACTGCTTTATATTATGACACAAATACATGTGTGATAATGATCAGTTTTGAACTAATCATCAGGATGAGGGTATACAAAAATCTCAACGAGTTGTGACAGACTGAAGGGATCAACTGGTAATGTTAACAAAACAATGTATCAACATGGCTGGAAGTCAATAATGGTTTGTTAGCATCGCGTACCATCGTCTTCACTGTCATCATCAATCTGTGATGGGGTTTTTACTTTTGGGACTGAGAGAGCCCGGTTACGAGGGGCACGAGGTGGGGTGCTAGGAGGGGAGGGAGGATCGTCCTGTGCCAGTGTAAACTCTCCATCCAGACTGTCCATGGAGTCAGAGTCAGATCCCCTCTCCTCCTCCTCAGAAGTATCACCGAACACCCTTCTCTGTCCTTCCACTGTCAGGGACATCCCTGGAGCAAACAGACCCTCTGGCACTGTTTGTAAACTGTCTGGTTTTTTAATTATTGGCGGTGGAGGAGGTGGAAGATCACTGAAGTCAGATCTGTCTGGCGAGGTTTGTAATCCTGAAATACCTTGCCTTGGAGGTGGTCGACTGGCTACAGGTGCCTCAACTATACTGGAGGGACGGGATCGCTGACGCATTGGCTGAAGACCCAAGGGTACCCCTAGCAAGGTATCAGTGTCGCCTTCACGATGGATGTCCTCAGTAGAAATGCCAAACATAAACTGACGATGTTTTTCTTGCCAACGTTTTTGCTTTAGTTTCTCCACTTTCCTCTTCTTGTCAGCCTCCTGCATAGAGTGAAAAACAAGATGCATTAGCATATAAAATCTGTTTATTTTTTATTCAATATCTGAATTCATTTTGGTACATATACATATTTGTTAAGTCCATATCAAATTTATATGTTATTCTTAAGAATGCTAATTATTCTTACCCTTGGTTAAAATCCTATACTTTGACAAGTTTGTCCAATGCCCTTTGAAACACATTCCAACAAAAAGAGGCCAGTCACAGTAAAAATACAAACATTATTAGTAATCTAATTTTATTATTGTTCACTCTGAAAGTACTGGACTGAAATATATGTATATTTCTGTATGTTGTGTATGTAGTGATAATTGTAAGTTTGCGAAATTCATTATTACTTAATTTGTAAAAAAGCTGCAATTCACTAAAATTTGATTGCCCAAATTCAGCAGGTTTACAGTATATAACCTAGTGTGACTTGTGGAAGACTTCTGACTTAATGTGACTTGTGAAAGACTTCTGACTTGGTGTGACTTGTGGAAGACTTTTGACTTAGTGTGACTTTTGAAAGACTTCTGACTTAGTGTGACTTGTGAAAGACTTCTGACTTGGTGTGACTTGTGGAAGACTTTTGACTTAGTGTGACTTTTGAAAGACTTCTGACTTAGTGTGACTTGTGAAAGACTTCTGACTTAGTGTGACTTGTGGAAGACTTCTGACTTAGTGTGACTTGTGGAAGACTTCTGACTTAGTGTGACTTGTGAAAGATTTCTGACTTAGTGTGACTTGTGAAAGATTTCTGACTTAGTGTGACTTGTGAAAGACTTCTGACTTAGTGTGACTTGTGGAAGACTTCTGACTTAGTGTGACTTGTGAAAGACTTCTGACTTAGTGTGACTTGTGAAAGACTTCTGACTTAGTGTGACTTGTGAAAGACTTCTGACTTAGTGTGACTTGTGAAAGACTTCTGACTTAGTGTGACTTGTGAAAGACTTCTGACTTAGTGTGACTGACTTAGTGTGACTTGTGAAAGACTTCTGACTTAGTGTGACTTGTGAAAGACTTCTGACTTAGTGTGACTTGTGAAAGACTTCTGACTTAGTGTGACTTGTGGTAGACATATGTCTTAGTGTGACTTGTGAAAGACTTCTGACTTAGTGTGATTTGTGAAAGACTTCTGAATTAGTGTTACTTGTGAAAGACTTCTGACTTAGTGTGACTTGTGGTAGACATATGTCTTAGTGTGACTTGTTGAAGGCTTACCTCCTGTTTCTGTTTGTTGGCGATCGTTGTAACTTGCTGTAGTAGCTCGTCAATCTTTGACTCGGTGGAGTCTACATCTATAGAGGAGAGGCAAAGAGCACGGTTCATAGGAAAGAAGTCATAATTTTCCTCCTCCACCAGTTTACAGACGTAGAGTTCCATGGCTGTGTAATCACTTGTCTTCACATCATCAAGGTGGATAAGGAAGAACACATACGCCCACATATTGTGTTCATTTCTCACATGGTGGTCAAATCCCTACAAAGTTATCAGGCAGTGATCAAACAACTCACAATCATGACTGATGAAAACTTCTCACTGATTTCTTCATTATTTTACATTTGTATATTATTACACTCGGAAAAATTAAATTGTACTTTGATCTCGTGAAGGATTGAATTACTTATTTCTATTTATAGTAACAGTGATTTTAACTTCTGTACATCTATTAGTAAAATATTACTGTCTGCACTGGTACATAGTTTTCTCCCTAACGTTTTTGTATAAAAGTTCTGTAAGATCTGACCCACCTAACTTGTTCACCTACCTTTCCTGTATGTTCAAAGTCGTAGCTATTTCTGCTACAGATAAAACAAGTATCTTTCATGTCTGACTCTGTCCTCCACTGTAAATAACAACAGTCAGAAAGTTACATTCAGTATTAAACATATGCTTAAGAGGTAGGGGTTAAGATTTGATTGTTATTTCAATTTAGAATTTTTTTTTCAGTAGATATCATGCAAATCACAAAAAGTCAATGAATATATTTAAGACATAATTCTAAATAAGTATAAAAAAAAGTCAGTACACCCCTGCTAGGAATTGAACCTGAAACCTTTGGTGTATTAGTCTTACATTCAATTGATCAAGCCAAAAGAAGTCCAGGATTTTCTAGGGTTACACTATACCTTGAGATCCCTGAGTTCGGAGAAGGTGTCGACAATGATACCGAAGATGATGTTGAGACCAATGGTGGTGATGAAAATGAAGAAAGATACATGGTAAAGTACAAGAGGCCAGAAATATTCAAATGAGTTCCTCAGCTCTGTCTGGTGGATTGTCTGTAAAATATATAGAAAGAGAAAGTAAGTATCAAACTCGGTAGATAAAATCTTCGTTTTAATCATGGAGTACATTTCATTGTTTAGTTCTAATTTCTTAATCAAGTCTGATTTTTAGATTGATTAATGCTAGTTAATAAATTTTTTATTGAATTTGGAGATCTCAAAGTGAAATTGGAGATCTTAAAATGAAATTGGAGATCTTAAAATGAAATTGGAGATCTTAAAATTTTCAATGCTCAAGTGAAAATAATTTTTTAAAGTTATTAATAGTTACTTTTATTAATGAAATGTTACAGCAGTTTTATTCTCTTTTAGTGATAAGTTACTGGATCATTGTTGGTAAACCTGTTTCCATGGCTCTGCACAGCGATCATCATACCTCAAACATGTCCCCAATAAGGCCGTATCTCATGACTGTGATGGTACATTGCCACAGGTTGGTACAGTATAGGTAGTCCCCGGGGGTGAAAAACTCCCGCAGTAAGGCAAACCCCACCAAGGCATATATGTATATCACAATCATCCCTAGGATGGCCACCCATAGTAGAGATATACCTGGAATTTTAAAGGTATAGAGATTAACCTACATTAAAAATAAACCTTGGAAAATTTCTCCATAGTGTGGAATAGTTGAAGAGACACATCAACTACATAGCTAACTCATATCAGGTGAATTGCAGAATCTCTTGCATGTGTTTGAAGTAGCTGAGCACAACAAAATTAACCTTTTTTTTTGCACTCCCTGTGTCTTTCTAGAAATTATTGCAGATATTGATATCTTACTTATTGTATGAAAACCTTAAAGCGACTATAATGTTAAAAAACACTATGAGAAAACGTTAAAAAATGTTTTATTTTCCAATAGTATGTTACAAAACTAAGATTTTCTGTTAATTACTAAAATTAAAAGTCACTGCAACCATTTTTTATTGATATCTAAATAAATAAAGAATGTAAACAGTGCGGTCCTGATCTAATTTATACATCATTGCCGCTCGTAACCCAGATGCTGCGCATGCGTATAAGCCTAGAAAGAAGCAATATGGCGGACGCAATACGAAAAGCCGATGAGGACCTAAGTTTCCTTACAGAAAGTGCCTGAAAGTGTAAGAGGAAGGAGTCAGACCAGAAAAGAGGACAGGCAAAAATTTATATTAGACAGGAAATCGATAGATGTCAAAATATGAAGAAGGATCTTGGACTGAATACGGATTCGGATTTGCGAAGCTGCTGCTTGACTGGTTAGCTTAACATTAGCCCTATAACTATAACGTATCCGCCTGTCAATTATTATAATCCAATATCCAGTGTTTGACACGTGAATATGTTATGAACAACACTACTAAAAGTGTTATCTGATAAATGTTAAATGAAAATAGTTGTGTTATGTGTTGAATTTACTATCGACATGTGTTTGTTGTTGACTGCAAGGTGGGGCCCAATTGGGGGTATTCGTTCTAAGTGTAAAAATATGACGGTACTGGTGTTACTGTAAGAATAACAACCATGATGATAAACATAGCCTTCATAATAAACAGTGCAATATCTACTAATGTGTACAGACAAAGTATCAATTCCTGCACAATGAGTTTTTTTCTTTTCTGATTGTATTTACCCCCTTTGGGGCCCCACTAGTTTAGCGCCCGCGATTGACATAGATAATTCTCGCACGACAAAGCCAAAACAAAACGAATTACTAAGATTGACTATTAAAAATGATATAACACTATAGAATCATTTACTGCAAACAATAATTAGCAGAAAGGCACAAAAGCAAGTGTCATACATAAGACATGTGCGTTTGTTCACCTTGTTATCCATTTTTTCTTTATGGCGGATGTAAATGACTTCGTCACGTGACAAGCCATGTGACCCACTCGGCTTTCTTTGTAATCAACCGAGCGTGAACACGTTTATAAACAAAAGGCAAGATAAACAATGTTCCGACGCCGAAAATATGTACAAACAACAAATTATGGGCATGTGTATCCCTTTATTATGAATATCTTTTATTATTCATAAGCCGAATTCTCCATTTGCCGATGTTGAAATCTAAGGTAATAGTCACTTCAAAAAATACTTACTTACATATATTTAGTACAGCCTTGACTTATGACCTTTACTTACATACAGATATGTAGTACTGGTTTGTTTTATGACCTTGACCTACCTAGTACAGCCTTGATCTATGACCTTTATTTACCTAATACATACTTGATTTATGACCCCTGACCTACCATTCTGGGTGACAGCTTTAATAACTCCACTCAAGAGTTGGTTGTTGTTGACAATGTTCAGTAGATGGAATGCAAAAAAGTAACCATGGAAGAGAGTACCCATCACAGACATAGCCAGGAATACCTGAAAAATCAAAGGTTTTTCAAAACGTTATTAAAGACATTTTACTAAATGAAATAACAAGATCCCTTTCACAAGCAATGCCAGGTACACTCGTATACTTCATTAACAAGTCTTATTTAATACTCTGAGGCCATTATAGCAGAAACACCTGTCTTTCTGTACAAAGCTTGTAGAGGACTGAAATATGTCACCATGTACATACCACATAGTAAAATGTTGTGAAACTGAGGAACTTGACCTCCAGTTTAGACCCCTCCTCCTTTTTTTGTTCTCCTGAATCGTCCACCTCTTCTTTCTTCCCAAACCAGCCCCTAGAATGAATACAAGTATCTAATGATTGATACAATGTTTCTGGATAATACTGACAAAAATGCCTGTCCCACTGATATTGGGAAGTTCATCTCTTTCTGACCTCTAATGTAGATCAAGACTATATCAACACATTACACAGCAAATTTAAAAAACATTTACACAAAATTTGATACTAAATATATTGTCACTGAAATATTTTAATTTCTAATCATGCAACATTTTCATCAAAGTCCCCTTAAGATTTACCCATCACTCCATTAAACTCCAATTAAATTATTTCTCAATTAACTCCATTAAAAGTCCACTAAGATTCTTCAATGAACACCATTTGGATTTCTCTATTAAACCCTATGAAAATTTCTTATTCAACTACATTAAGATTTCCCCATAATATTCCATTGAGATTTCCTTATCAACTACCATTAGAATTTCTCCATTCAATCCCAATTAAAATTTCCAATCAACTCCATTAATATTTCCTCATAAAGTTCCATTTCGATTTCCTCACTGAACACCAGCAGGATTTCCCCATTAAACCCCAATTAAACTTCCCTATTCAACTCCATTAAGATTTCCTAAATACGTCATTAGGTTTTCCAATTAAAGCCAATTTAAAGCCCGAATTAACAATATCCTCATAACACTCCATTAAGATTTCCTGATTACCTGATGAGGTCAGTGATTTCTTTACAAGTTGGAAGACTTGGATGGTTAGACAGGAAGTAACTGATGAGAACAAAGACTGAGAAGAGGTTGTGTGTTCCTCCCAGGGCATACATCAGTATAGTATATGTTTCGGTAGGAATTCCCGATATTTTCGGCACTGGACTGAAATATATCAAACATTGTTCATATCAACAGAGATTCTATATGTCTCTATTCAATGCTTCTTTACTTTGGATGCAAGAAAGACTGAAGACAGATTACCAGGTGATTAAAATCAGATACTGAAGATCTACAAAATATTCATGTTACATGCGATGTTGGGATATTTTCTAATTCTAGACCCTGCTTAGAGTCTAGACTTTTCACTTCTACATGAGACATTAAGAACAGTACTAGTTTTACTACTATACTGGAGTAATGTCTCCGCAGACATCAGGGATCATTGAATTCTTTAATTAAAGCTAACTGAAAACTTTGAACCAATAGGATACAATTAATTTAAATTGATAATTATACATAACGTAGATTTTCATCTATCAATGGCTGCGACAATTCCAAGGTGATGAAAGAGTTTTTAAATGGAAGGTCTCGGAAGTCATCCTGTAACATAGGAAGTTCTGAAAGCCCTAAAAATGTAGGTGTTGAGCGAATTGTACACCATTGTTGAGAAATTAACCACTAGCCAATAAGAGGCACTAATAATCAACATTTCAACATCTCCAATATATACAGTACTATCATACAAATCATGTTCACTGTTACCAGACAAAAGTGGAATTTTTGTTCAATCTATTATATACTATTATCATTTTTAAGGAACAATAGGAAGCAAAGTTGGTTTTAAACAATGTTAATGTGTATCTAGTTTCCTGATATTAATTCTATACACCAAGCAAAACCAGATCTGAAAATTGAGATATCTGACCTAATACGTCCCACCTCTAAAAGTTGCCCCATTGCCCAAGTTGCTTGACTGGTCAAGTGTCTGTTGAAGGCATCATCACACACAAATTGGTTGTGATATATGAAAATCTAAATTGACATTGAACCATTTTGTAACATCACTGGCATTTCTAATAAGAATCAAAATCAGTAAATCAATTTTTCAAATGAAGACAATTCCTATCTTGACTGAGTTTAACAATCTCCCTGACACCCTTTACAATATAAAGTGACACATACTCCTTGAACACGTCCCAGTTGAAGGGAGGTTGGGTACTACCGGTGGAGCTATCAGGTGAAGGAGCAGGCGTTGATCCATATTCGGCCAACTTAGCGTAGTCCTCCTGGGTCGCTTTATTGTTCCACGTCAGTAACATCAGCAGGTTGATAGCCACGCTTAGGAATGTAGCCCCATAGTTCCAAAGTAACCTGCCAGGGGAGATAATCATGATACCGAATCATATTAAGGAGTAGAGTCAAAGTAAAACATGACATTGTAGATTCAAGACTAAAGAACCAGAGTTCTACAGCACCCTGATAGGGAAGATAACTTTCTCGGATGGACTATCACCCCGCATACCAAAGTGATTAGACACAAAAGATAAGTCAGCTATCAAATAAGTTTTTTAATACATTCTCTGATATCTGCTGATGAAGAAAATTTTGCCTACCATCCTTTTGTGAAAAGCATGGCTATAGGGTTGTGAAGTATGCGGCGTTGATAACTGATATCTTTCATAATGTCTCTGGTCCAACTCATTAGGTCACGAATCTTGTTACTTGGAGATGTCCGATCCACGTTCCATTTGAGTTTCTCCTTAACTTCATCACGTAGATAGTTCTTTAACAAAGACAGTGTAAGATAATATAACAAAAATCACATGATTCAGACATATGTTTTGTTTCAGATTATGATGTTGGATTATATATTCCTATCATCAGGGGACAAATCAAATATGATTTCTTGAAAGTATTATTATGTAAAATGAGACAAAATTGATAATTTACATCTTGTCTAGAACTACATCATATAAATTACACATGGGATTAGCCTACCTTGTTCTTCACTCTGAAGTTGACCTTCTGTAGAATATCGTCTTTGACAATTTCTATAGACATGGAATTTTTCTTGTAGAAGTCAAATGCTCGTCGCTGTTCCGGGGAAATGTCAACCTCTGGAAACACAGAAGATCATACAACAATAAAGGTCTACTTATAGACAGCACATCTTTATCTAATGGTAGGAGCAGCCAACAAGACATCCCAGTGGGAACTTGGCACCCACTACTGTTTTATCTTCATTTGGTCTTTAAAAGTTAGATATTTTCCTTTCTTTTCTCTTCTGTCCTCTAATCTGTGTTTAATCACATGAAATTTGAAAATTGCTTTCAAGAAATAGCAATGATAAGAAATAGCTTACATATGAAATTTGATTAAGATCTCTACAGCAATTCTCCAAAAAAACATTTTGTAAAATAATTTGTTTCCCTTCATCATTTTTTTTTTTTTTTTTTTGTAACTTGAATTACAGCACTTCTGCTATATGTTAATCATGCAAATGTGTTCTGACTATAAAAGGTACGAGACATACTCTCAGGCATGGTGGGGTCGATGTCGATCATTCTGGCAAGGATGAGGTAGAATGTGAAGCCAACCTCCATCAACATCTCCTTTGTACTGGCATTCTCCTTTTTACCAGCCTGACAACACAAAGTCACATATAAGATATGGATGGTGTTGTCTGATACCAGAATAAAGTTCTGGCTTCCACATTCACACAAGGATAAAAAACAATATAAAACAAAACTAATTTCTAAATAAACACTGAACAAGAATATTTTGTTACATTAATGGTGACCTAGATTTCACCATCTACACCAATTTTTTAATACATTTTGAAATAGGTCGAATCATTTACTTGAAGTTATTCAAATTTTTGCGATATATTTCATAGTGATGGTGGAAATCAATTCATTCATAAAGAGCTTCACTGCATCCCTCACATTTAGACCATTTTTTCCTGTAAAGATGAAGTAAATGTCTTCTTCCCTCATTACCATGTCATCAGATTAAAATGGTACCCTTGATAGATTAGTACTTACTTAAAATAGAAGATTACAAAACACGAAAACAATTAAATAACAAGCACAAAATACCTCTTATCTTTCTGTAAGTTTTACTGTAACTAAGCCTTACTCTGTAAGTTTTACTGTAACTAAGCCTTACTCTGTAAGTTTTACTGTAACTAAGCCCTACTCTGTAAGTTTTACTGTAACTAAGCCCTACTGTGTAAGTTTTACTGTAACTAAGCCTTACTGTGTAAGTTTTACTGTAACTAAGCCCTACTCTGTAAGTTTTACTGTAACTAAGCCTTACTCTGTAAGTTTTACTGTAACTAAGCCCTACTCTGTAAGTTTTACTGTAACTAAGCCTTACTCTGTAAGTTTTACTGTAACTAAGCCCTACTGTGTAAGTTTTACTGCAACTAAGCCCTTCTCTGTAAGTTTCACTGTAACTTAGCCCTACTGTGTAAGTTTTACTGTAACTAAGCCTTACTCTGTAAGTTTTACTGTAACTAAGCCCTACTCTGCAAGTTTTACTGTAACTAATCCTTACTCTGTAAGTTTTACTGTAACTAAGCCCTACTGTGTAAGTTTTACTGTAACTAAGCCTTACTCTGTAAGTTTTACTGTAACTAAGCCCTACTCTGTAAGTTTTACTGTAACTAAGCCCTACTCTGTAAGTTTTACTGTAACTAAGCCTTACTCTGTAAGTTTTACTGTAACTAAGCCCTACTCTGTAAGTTTTAGTTAAGCCTTACTGTAACTAAGCCCCCTACTGTGTAAGTTTTAGCCCTTCTCTGTAAGTTTCACTGTAAAGCCCTACTGTGTAAGTTTTACTGTAACTAAGCCTTACTCTGTAAGTTTTACTGTAACTAAGCCCTACTCTGCAAGTTTTACTGTAACTAAGCCCTACTCTGTAAGTTTTACTGCAACTAAGCCCTACTGTGTAAGTTTTTTAGCCCTTCTCTGTAACTGTAAAGCCCTACTGTGTAAGTTTTACTGTAACTGTAAGTTTTACTGTAGTTTTACTCTGTAAGTTTTACTGTAGCTAAGCCCTACTCTGTAAGTTTTACATTAACTAAGCCCTACTCTGTAAGTTTTACTGTAACTAAGCCTTACTCTGTAAGTTTTACTGTATCTAAGCCCTACTGTGTAAGTTTTACTGTATCTAAGCCCTACTGTGTAAGTTTTACTGTAACTTAGCCCTACTCTGTAAGTTTTACTGTAACTAAGCCCGACTCTGTAAGTTTTACTGTAGCTAAGCCCTACTCTGTAAGTTTTACATTAACTAAGCCCTACTCTGTAAGTTTTACTGTAACTAAGCCCTACTCTGTAAGTTTTACTGTATCTAAGCCCTACTAAGCCCTACTCTGTAAGTTTTACTGTAACTAAGCCCTACTCTGTAAGTTTTACTGTAACTAAGCCCTACTCTGTAAGTTTTACTGTAACTAAGCCCTACTCTGTAAGTTTTACTGTAACTAAGCCCTACTCTGTAAGTTTTACTGTAGCTAAGCCCTACTCTGTAAGTTTTACATTAACTAAGCCCTACCATGACTCCTGAAATGAAGTTCCCTCCAAAAGCAGCAATGGACTTGGCAGATTTGAGATAGCTGGTGGAGCCTTGAGGACCACTGTTTAAGACATCGTCCAGTTTAGGTTTGTCAGCCTGATGCATCTCATAACACTGTGTCATACACCTGTACAGGGCATTCTTGTCCAGTGTGTCTTTCACCTCCTATACACAGACAAAGTTAGAGTCATAGCCATATTCATTAAAGAACGTGATAAATATCACTTATATCATTTATATTTTGTACTTCTGAAACTATATTGATTAGCTTACATGCTATTTCTTGTAACTGTCCAATTCTTTTGACAGTGATAAAATGTACCTATTTATTACTGATATTTAACTACATGTATACTTGATATGCTTAAAATTGGGAACTGTATTAACCAAAAGGAAAATAATGAAGAACAGTCATTAACACAATAATAACCACATGAATATCACAATTGAGGAATACCAAAACTGTGTGTCTATCTAACTATAAAATATTGGGGTCTTACGAGCTCCTTTTGAACTCTAGCCTTCCTTCTTTACACTGTAGGAGCAAAACAAATATCATCCAAGAAAGAGAAGCAATGTCATATACATTCAATTTTGAAAATATTTCTTTACAACATACAAGTATTTGATTACTTCTTGCACATGACATAGCAAAATTTGAAGGTTAGTTTTTCAGAGACAAGCTGGCTCTCTAAAAAGTCTGGTTTTTCCCTTGCATTAAAAAGCTCCTCCATGGGAAAAGCTAGCATTTGAATGAGCAAAGCTGCAAAAAAGTGATATAACATGTTGTTTTTTATCAGCTGTCTATGACCTTCACAGAAGTTTTAGACATAAAAATTAAAACCATAAAGATCTGATGAATCTTATGTATATCTGGAGCTCAATATAAGGGCTGGTTATGAAGTACTGGTAACAGTCATTGTAGGAGTATGGAAGAAATGTTCAGGGCTCAGGGTGGTCACATTTAAACATTGGAAAATATCAACAGGACGTTTGGCTAAAAAACTATACAACATCCTTTAACTTACAGTTCCATTGTAAAAGGTACTTACTAAGACCTGAGAGCCAGAAACTTAATCATTAAGCAGATTTCATATGATTTTAATGATGGGTTTGTAAAATGGCACCAAGCTGTTATTAGAAAAAATGACTGACTTGTGCAGTCAATTAAATGTGTTTCAGATTGAACTAAAAACAAAGTGTTTCCAGATCCTCAGAATTATCAAGTACCTTATGAGCAATCCAAATCGAGCAATATATTGTTAGTAGTATAGTATATAATTCTATTAAAAGTACTCAAGTGTAATGTATTTTATAATTCAAAGCAAGAGACCCACTGGACCTGTATTGCTCACCAGCTCTACAACTTAAGAAATCAGGACATTGATGGGATTGGTTATTCCGACAACTTTTACGTTAATTTCAAACTTAATACCTTTTTCTGAGTGTATTACAAGTCAATTGACATATCATCATATCATGGTTATCCAGAAGATTTCCACACCTTTCATCTTTCGAGCTTTGAATGTGCCTTTAAGTCATTCTTATAAACAATTTTAATTCCATTATGCAAGCTAATGGTGTATCCTAGGACGTTTAGTTATTCAGAAGAAGCCATTTAAATATTTCAACACACTTGACCACATTGACCTCAAAATTGGCTCTTCTTTTGGTTATTGTGAAGAAATTGTTTGATGACTTTATCACATTTGATCCTTGGGACCTTCAAAGTTCTTAAAGGCATTTTTTTATAAGAATAGAACAACTTGATAGCCATTCATATTGGCCCACTACTGACCCAATACATGTATCCATATTGTCATTCTTAAGGTTATTAAAAGATGTCATTTTAAGGTTGACTCATTTGAACCCTATGAACTTTAAAGTGACTCAAGATCATTTATTTAAACAAACTTAATTATTCTTCATTCAAGCATGTTACTCGCTGCTGGTTATTGAGAAGATTTTAACAGAAAAAGCTAATAAGAAAAAAATGACTAATGGACGGCTCTTGAGTAAAATGACAGTTTATATATGGCAGATTAAAAAGAACACGCAATTAATAACTCAAAAGAGCAGTTGGCTCATGTGAGCTAATATCAGGTAATACAGGCATCATATCACAAGAAAAAACACTGAAGGGCTTGAATGGTTATCAGCTTGTTAAACTCAATAGCTGGAGTATAGCTGTACAAGGAGGTAGAGACATGTATACTAACCTTGTGGATGTACCTGAGCTCATCTGCTTTGCCTTGCTTTAAGTTAAGTGCAAATATAAACAAACAAAAAGCAGAAATATGTAAAGTGAAGAACATAGTGAAAAACATGCAAAAGTAGAATACAGAAACAAATAAAATTCATTCAATGCGAGAGAAAATCATAAAAAAAGAACATAAATAAAAATAAAAAAGTTGGTTATAACTTCAGAATTAGATGTTTTCTTCAGCTTGTAACATTTCGCCCCATGTAAGTCACATTTTTCAGCAAGGATACATATGCATTTATGGAAAGCATCACAGCACTGATGACATCACAGTACTGATGACATCATAACACTGATGACATCATATCCTTCAAAATGATTTATATGGATCAATCATACTAGAACATCTGTAGAAATATCCAGGGAACTTAACTTGTATCAGGTACATTATGACAGAACAACAATATAGTGGGATATGAAGGGTTCTCAAATGATGCTTTTATTCAAAAAAGGCTGGAAAGGTCAAAATGTGATTCTATAAACAGATCTTAAAAAACACTGGTATTGTGGCAATGAAATATGATATCAAAACAGAATTACATGAAGCAATTGGTTACAACATTAGAATAAATATATTTGTAAAATAACTCAAGTGTTCCCATCCAATATCTGCGCAAAACAAATTCTTAATTTTATCAACTTTGATCAACTTAAAATACAAGAGATCCTAGAGGGATCGTGGCACTCATCATTGTTTGATCTTTATATGCTCTTTGAAAGTTGGATTTTTCCCTTCTTTTCTCTTATCTGTTTTTGCTCTTAATGATAGGACATTTGAACATTCCTTTGCAGAAATAAATGATAATCTTTAACTGCCAAATCCAAAATGGCAATGTGGAAGTCATTTTATTTTTTCTGATCAATCTCAAAAGCAAACGAGCACAAGGAGAGATCAAAGGGGACATATGTATGAAATTTGAGAGGATATCCATTCAGTACTTCAGCAGAAATAGCAATAACAATCTTTACTAGGCAAAATCCAAGACGACTGCCTGTCAGCCATTTTGTTTTCCTGATCAGTCCCAAAATCAAACTGGCACAGCTAGTGACCATGGGGAACCTACAAATGAAATTGAAGAAAGATCCATCCAGAACTTCTCAAGTAATAGCAATAACAAACTTTCAAAGTCAAAATCCAAGATGGCTACCTTTTGGCCATTTTGTTTTTCTGATCAGTCCCAAAATCACATGGGCACAACTAGAGACCAGGGAAACCTACATATGAAATTTGAGAGAGATCCATCTCTTACTTTTCAAGAAATAGCCATAACAAACTTCATTGAAAAAATCCAAGATGGCTGCCTGTCAGCCATTTTGTTTTTTCCATCAGTCCCAAAATCAAATGGGCACAACTAGGGACCAAGGGGAACCTACATATGCAACTTGAGAAAGACCATCCAGGACTTCTCAAGAAATAATGATAACAAAAACTGTTTACAGACAGACGGACGGACGAAGAGTGATTGGAGTAGCCCACCATCTGATGATGGTGGGTTAAAAATAAAGTTCAAGCAAAACATGCTATTTAGGATCAAACTTTGTCAGCACAAGGACAAATAAAAAATTCAAATTTCCCTATTTTCTACTGAAGATACAAACTATATACACTAAACACAAATCTATCTAAATTCAATTACTGTTCTTTGGTAGAAACTGGTGTTGTTACCTTCCATAAACCTGTCACTGTTATTCAATCATTAGAAATATCAATGACTTGTTTTTGTTTTGAAAAAAAACAGTCGGCTTATTTCTCATACTTTAATTGATCCTTATTGGGAAGGGATATTTTCGAAAATGTTTCATAAGTTATTGTGCCTAATAAATCATTTTTGTTATTCCCTAATCAAATGTTTTTGTTATTCTTAAAAAGTGCTCTTCTTGAAATAGAAAGGAGAGATGTTGACCGACTTCTTCAGTTTCAGGAAATTTGGAAAACTGGAGCATTTAACAACTGCAGAATGTTTGTTTTTAAAGTTCAGAAGAGCATGCTTAATGTGAAAAACAGAACAAATTCATTCCAAAGAAATATATACAAATCAACAGAAGTGTAAGAAATGAAAGATAAATATATAGGGGAGCTTACACAAGTTTCTATTTGATATGTGACTAATGAAACATTCCAAAGAATTAAAAATTTTAGCGAGCCTTTGGCAATCTAAAATGAATAATTTGTGACAAGTTTCATTAATTATATATGAAATGGAAACAACATTTTATCACATGACAGATTATTCAGGCAAATATTGTAGAAAATGGGTATTTCTATATTTGAATTTGTGTTCAGCTCTATATTTATAGATGTCGTTGTTGAGTCTCACTGTAAACTGTGAGTGTGGTTCATTATGTAAACCTTACATCAGAACAGTTGATATTACACATGTGCAATACACATAACATAACTTAGGTAAATTCACTGAATAAAAAGGCAATCATGTGATAGATAAATATAGCTGAACATAAGAGTGCACTAGTGCAAAAATTATCCAATTGATTGCAGTGTGACAATTGTAGGAATTTTCTGATAGTTCAAACTTTCAGATACTGAAATATTTGAATTGACAGATGGAGAGACGTTGTAATTTCTGTCAGGGTGCTAACAACAATGATCTCTTGATAGTCATGCTGAGATATGATAGTGATGAACACCTGATAGAACACCCAAGACTGAATATGACTAGGAAAGTGCCTGACATACCAGTTGTATGTAATTACCTTAGCCACCTGAGACTTGCCAGGTCCATTCTCCTCTATTAGAGCCACCACTAGGGATGCGATGGCCTGTCGTAGATCAAGGATCTGTCAACAGTAAGTGTATAAATAATCTGCAAAATATTTATGATCACCTTCACTCATCTTCATTCTCTAGATCAGACAGGTATCTCCCATTCTCTCATCTATCTTCTCAAGGTCAGTTAGTTATCTCCCCTTGCCCCATTTACCTTCTCCTGATCAGACAGTTATATCCCATTGCCTCATCTACATTTTCTAGATAAGACAGTTATCTGTCCTTGCCTCATCTACCTTCTCTATAGCAGACAGTTATCTGCCCTTGCCTCATCTACCGTCTCACATCAGACAGTTATATCCCATTGCCTCATCTACCTTTTCTAGATAAGACAGTTATCTGTCCTTGCCTCATCTACCTTCTCTATAGCAGACAGTTATCTGCCCTTGCCTCATCTACCTTCTCTAGATCAGACAGTTATCTCCCATTGCCTCATCTATCTTCTCAAGATCAGTAAGTTCCTTTCTTACTCCTACCTTCTCTGGCTCACAGTCAGCGATCTCTCCAGCTCTCAGAATAAAGTTAATGTAGTCCACAACTTTCCTATCGTATATCACAAATCGGTTTTCCTGGTTTCCCTGAATAAGTGAAGATAAGATTAGTGATTCATGTGTTTTTTTGCATGTTATCACATTTTATCAAAAAGATAACTAAAAAGGTAGTCTGGAATTGTCCTGTGCATGAAGAGTGATTGTCTAGAATTTGCCTTCTGCTCAGTTCTCATAAATCTGTTAAATAATTCTAATATGAAAGCATTCAGAGTAAATTTGTGTCCAATTGCAGAATTATGCTGAAAATACAAGATAATCTGACATGAAGAAATAGTTCAGTGTGCTGAACACTTGAACTACTTACAGAACAGAACTCATTCAGTGGGCTGAACACTAGTATAACTTACAGAACACAACTCATCCAGTGTGCTGAACACTTGCATACTTACAGAACAAAACTCGTTCAGTGTGCTGAACACTTGGATGATGAGGTCGATAGTTTTACTGTTGATGGTGGAGTACACAACATTAAGGAATTGAGCTGTCTCCCCTACAATATTAAATGACTTCACATTGTCTGGTTGTTCTCGCATGTAGTTCTGAAACATATAACAGAAATACTATCTGTAAAATAAGCATTATACCCCTTTTTTCTATCTGTAATTGGAAAACAGCACTTTACATGGAGGCATGCATATTTGAAGCAAGACCCATCAGTAGAATTTTATAAAGAAATCATAGAACAACATATTTTAATCTGGTAACTGTCAACATTTGACTGATTAACCCGGGTTTAAACTGGAGCTTAATCTTGGAATTTCCATCCCCTCTTCCTACCATTCGTAATTGGAAGGGTTAGCATGTATTATACTCTAACATATATTCCCATAATCAAAGCATTCCAAACATCATCACATCACATTTATGTTTACGTAAGGACCTCTGATCTTAAAATCAATGCTGAAGACAGATGGTTTTCCATCTTAATTTCCAATTCTATCAGTGATTGGTTACCTGAAGTCCATTATGTTGACCATCACAGAGTCTGGCCAGAAGTTTGAGGACCAGCTCGATGTAGCCATCATCCTTGTATTCCAGCATCTCTACCACACCCTCATCAATGTTGCTGACCATGTTTTCCACCGTCTTCATCGACTGACAATCAGACAAATCATTCAACATTTTAAACTTTCCTAAAAGAACAACTATTACAGGTCCCTGTATAACATGTCAGTGTCAATATACATATCAATGTCAATAACACTCAACAGTTGTTCTTCATTGTCAGTGTCAATATACATATCAATGTCAATCACCACTCAACAGTTGTTCTTTATTGTCAGTGTCAATATACATAACAATCACCACACAACAGTTGTTCTTTATTGTCAGTGTCAATATACATATCAATGTCAATAACACCCAACAGTTGTTCTTTATTGTCAGTGTCAATATACATATCAATCACCACTCAACAGTTGTTCTTTATTGTCAGTGTCAATATACATGTCAATGTCAATCACCACTCAACAGTTGTTCTTTATTGTCAGTGTCAATATACATAACAATGTCAATCACCACTCAACAGTTGTTCTTTATTGTCAGTGTCAATATACATGTCAATGTCAATCACCACTCAACAGTTGTTCTTTATTGTCAGTGTCAATATACATAATAATGTCAATCACCACTCAACAGTTGTTCTTTATTGTCAGTGTCAATATACATATCAATCACCACTCAACAGTTGTTCTTTATTGTCAGTGTCAATATACATGTCAATGTCAATCACCACTCAACAGTTGTTCTTTATTGTCAGTGTCAATATACATATCAATCACCACTCAACAGTTGTTCTTTATTGTCAGTGTCAATATATATAGCAATGTCAATCACCACTCAACAGTTGTTCTTTATTGTCAGTGTCAATATACATGTCAATGTCAATCACCACTCAACAGTTGTTCTTTATTGTCAGTGTCAATATACATATCAATGTCAATCACCACTCAACAGTTGTTCTTTATTGTCAGTGTCAATATACATATCAATCACCATTCAACAGTTGTTCTTTATTGTCAGTGTCAATATACATAACAATCACCACACAACAGTTGTTCTTCATTGTCAGTGTCAATATACTTTTTTAATGTCAATCACCACTCAATAGTTGTTCTTTATTGTCAGTGTCAATATACATAACAATCACCACTCAACAGTTGTTCTTCATTGTCAATGTCAATATCCATTTCAATGTCAATCACCACTCAATAGTTGTTTGTTATTGTCAGTGTCAATATACATAACAATCACCACACAACAGTTGTTCTTCACTGTCAGTGTCAATATACTTTTTTAATGTCAATCACCACTCAATAGTTGTTTGTTATTGTCAGTGTCAATATACATATCAATGTCAATCACCACTCAACAGTTGTTCTTTATTGTCAGTGTCAATATACATATCAATGTCAATCACCACTCAACAGTTGTTCTTTATTGTCAGTGTCAATATCCATTTCAATGTCAATCACCACTCAATAGTTGTTCTTCATTGTCAGTGTCAATATCCATTTCAATGTCAATCACCACTCAATAGTTGTTTGTTATTGTCAGTGTCATATACATAACAATCACCACACAACAGTTGTTCTTCACTGTCAGTGTCAATATACTTTTTTAATGTCAATCACCACTCAACAGTTGTTCTTTATTGTCAGTGTCAATATACATAACAATGTCAATCACCACTCAATAGTTGTTCTTTATTGTCAGTGTCAATATACATAACAATCACCACTCAACAGTTGTTCTTCATTGTCAGTGTCAATATCCATTTCAATGTCAATCACCACTCAATAGTTGTTTGTTATTGTCAGTGTCAATATACATATCAATGTCAATCACCACTCAACAGTTGTTCTTTATTGTCAGTGTCAATATACATATCAATGTCAATCACCACTCAACAGTTGTTCTTTATTGTCAGTGTCAATATCCATTTCAATGTCAATCACCACTCAATAGTTGTTTGTTATTGTCAGTGTCAATATCCATTTCAATGTCAATCACCACTCAATAGTTGTTTGTTATTGTCAGTGTCAATATACATAACAATCACCACACAACAGTTGTTCTTTATTGTCAGTGTCAACATACATATCAATGTCAATCACCACACAACAGTTGTTCTTTATTGTCAGTGTCAATATACATATCAATGTCAATCACCACTCAATAGTTGTTTGTTATTGTCAGTGTCAATATACATATCAATGTCAATCACCACTCAACAGTTGTTCTTCACTGTCAGTGTCAAAATACTTTTTTAATGTCAATCACCACTCAACAGTTGTTCTTTATTGTCAGTGTCAATATACATATCAATGTCAATTACCACTCAACAGTTGTTCTTTATTGTCAGTGTCAATATACATATCAATGTCAATCACCACTCAACAGTTGTTCTTTATTGTCAGTGTCAATATACATAACAATCACCACACAACAGTTGTTCTTTATTGTCAGTGTCAATATACATATCAATGTCAATCACCACTCAACAGTTGTTCTTTATTGTCAGTGTCAATATACATATCAATGTCAATTACCACTCAACAGTTGTTCTTTATTGTCAGTGTCAATATACATATCAATGTCAATCACCACTCAACAGTTGTTCTTTATTGTCAGTGTCAATATACATATCAATGTCAATCACCACTCAACAGTTGTTCTTTATTGTCAGTGTCAATATACATATCAATGTCAATCACCACTCAACAGTTGTTCTTTATTGTCAGTGTCAATATACATATCAATGTCAATCACCACACAACAGTTGTTCTTTACTGTCAGTGTCAATATACATAACAATGTCAATCATCACTCAACAGTTGTTCTTTATTGTCAGTGTCAATATACATATCAATGTCAATCACCACTAAACAGTTGTTCTTTATCAGTATTTAACAAATGATGATTTAAGGTTAGTTTTCACAGTATGACAGAGCACCAGATCTAAAATTTCTAATGAATTGGATGTTACTGTTTTATAATGATAGCAAAGTATGTTCTATATACATTGTCTTATCTGTGTATTCAATAAAGATGTATGCAGAGTGATCACCTACCAGTCAAAACTTGGATGAAAGATCCAACTTTGATTTGTGACATGACTTTTACAAATTGGTTTCTATTGAATACCCAAGGTAATAGAACTAACAATGAAATTTAATACAAACGATGATTGCGCAATTTTACAAATATACCAAAGAGAGGTTTAAGGAGTTTCCTATATTCATGGATAATATGACAGGATTTAATCATGCTTCACAACCATGTCAATAATATTCAACATTAGCTAAATCTTCAAATTAATATCAGCATCACATGCATAAAATACATTTACAACAGTACAAAATGATGGAAGTCAATACAAATTTTTATATGTTCCCATTATATACAATCCTAATTAAAAATAGATTTTGAAAAAATGGAAAAGAAACAAGGACTGACAAATCAAAATACCAAGCACAACCCTATGTCATAAGCCCAACAGGTTTCTAAGAGATTGGTTAAAAGTTGTGAAAGAAGTTCCCCAGACATGATCAAAATTTAAAAAGCAAGGGCAATAACTCTTTCAAAAACTGCTGAATCAAAATGTGGTTTAGATCAAAAGCCAAAAGATAATATGTTAATTAGGTGATTGGCTGATTTAATGCATTGTTCTTCTTGTTTTAAGTCATGCTTTTGCAAACAAAGAATGTGTATCATAAAATGAAATTTGACATAGCAAAATGTAAACTTACATGCAAAATCATATAAGAACATTCGGCAGCTACTGCTACCCCTGGTGTTAGTGAATACATTCAAGACACAAGTTGTGAAAGGACTTGTTAAAAGTGATTTGTTAGTAAAAAATAAACTGAGAATTGATATAAAACCTCAAATAAATTTTTGTTTTAATGATGAAGTGAATAAAGAATTGTGATTGGTGGAAGGCAAGCATATTGTATCTACACATGCACAACAGGTTACCATGGACATACATGCTGGTCACCACAAGCCAAATACCATGGGAGAGCATGGTAGCCATGGTTACCTCTACATTGACACTGGAGAGTTCCACTTCTGGAGTGATGTCCTGTGATTCAGGGGCTGGTTTCAATAAGGCTTCGTGACTGTTGTCACGTATCACACTGTGGTCATGTGACAGTCCGTTCGGAATCACACCTATCTTCTTGCTCTTTTTAAAGCTTTCTTGTTGTTTAGTTTTTCGTTTTTTACTTCGTCTCTTTTGGTCATGTGGAGGCTCTTTAGCTCGACTTAAGGCACTCTGTATGATAGTGTATGTACATGTTGAAGGGGTCATACTCATTGTTTAACAAAGGATGAAAACATTCAGGTGCTACATTGCCATCTTCCCTACAAATTCCCACACTGAGAACATTGCCTCCAATCTGTACAACTGTTAACTCTTTGTGAAAGAATGGTTAAGCCAACTTGGTAAGTTTTATAAGAAGTCATAACATAATCTGTCTAGAAATACAAGTTGGCTAGTTTTATAAGAAGTCTTAATATAATCTGTTGTCTGGAAATACAACTACAACCTAGGGGGATGCAACCCATCCTTTATACAAAATGGATTCCCCTTCACCAAAGAATGCTTCAAACAAACTTTGAACAAAATTCAATCATTGCTACAGTTGTAGGATTATAAAGAGTGTGCTCTACTCCCCCTATAAGGCACTGCATCTCTGCCCCAAAGGGGCTAAGAACAACCATTTAAACAAAATTTGTTCTGCTTCCCCCAAGAATGCTTCTGACCGAATTTGGTCAATCTTTGCTCAGTCTTTCAGGAATAGTGGCCATTTGTATAAAAAGTTGACAGACAGACAAACAGACAACAGATGCCTGCAGTACGGCATAAGCTCAATGACCCTTTGAACTAGGTGAGTTACTAAACAAATTACATAGTTTAGTTGAGATTTTAAAGATTTAGTCACATCTTGAACTTAGAGTAAATTTCCTACTTTACGTACATTGTACCAAGCATATACTTATAACTTAATGGTTCTTTGAAAATAAACTTTATAGGAATGACTAAAAACTGTCACAGTCTATCTAAAGAGTTTATATATATATAGGTAATATATATTTTTAAATGGTAAGCAACAGCTTTTATTCATCAGTGTAAAAATGAATGGTCAGTAGTTGAAGCAGGGTAAGGGGATTAATTACCACAGCGTTCCCAATAAGCTATTGAAGCTGCATAACATTGGTATCTCTTGTGTATAGCAATTGAATAAATAGCTGTGACAATACTTACCCATCCCTGCATTTTCTCATCTTTCAGACGAAGTTCATAATCCTGAATGAGCTACAAAGAAAAAATACTTCCACTTTTAATTTTGTTTTAGAAAAACTATCAAAGCCAACTTATATCTATTGAGCAATACAATGAGCAAATTTTGAAAGCAAACCCCTCCCCCTCCATCCACCCCATCATTTTTTTTTTTTAAATGAATAATGAACACAACAGCTGACATGGGATTAGATTTCTTAATTTCGCCAGTTAGAATTTACTATGTATCTCTCTATTAGCTAAATTTTACCCAGCAATGGGTAGAAAGAATCCTATAAAATTACTGACATCATATATTAGAAAAATACACAACTGATTCAGATATTGGTAGGTTTATAGTAAGTATATAGTACTTGGTGATTGTACCTGTAGTGCCTTACGACCAACAGTCAAGCTGGCGTTAAACGATCCCATGTTGTTAAAGGCTTCTTTGACACGAGCTTGATGTTGGGCCAACAAAGAACGCCTGAAAAATTTGTATATTACATATATGTATAAAAAAAAATTACATTCTGAAACACACAGGTGTTATATATTTATTTCTGTCTGTATTTATAAGTATACATAGTACTAGGTCAGAGAGTTGTTTGTATTTTCAGTTAAGCTATACATTGCACTCAATTGGGGAAAAAAACAGGGAGAGCATTCCAATTATTCTCCACCTCGATGGTTATTGGTTACATGGGTGTTCTTCACGCCAATAATGATGGAGTCACAGCAGATGTATAATGATTGATATGCATGTGAAATTCCAACTATTGTGTTTATATATTCCATGCTGTATATATCAGTCTCTCAGAAAATTTAGCATTCTTCATTTAACAGGATTCATAATTAATCGTGCAATAAATTGTATGAATAGTAATACCTGATCAGGAATACACATTATAAAGGTGAATAGTGTTTGGAGACAATGTCATATGAGTTAGCACCAAGTTAGAATTGAATTTCTATCTAATTATTATTATCTCATTTAACATGGAAACTAGAATACTTCTTACATGCTGGTAAAATATTTCCCTGTGAAATAAAATAATTGACTAAGTGACTCTGTTAGATACTAAAACATTCCCAAAAACATTATTGTGAGAAACTGAAATCTGTAAAGTTCTGTGATTAGTCATCATGTTACTGTCGTTTAAAGTAAGTTTTGTAGCTTTACAAGATGACATCAGGTCAAATTAGGTTTGTATAAGAAATATGTATAAGGCATCAAAATGTGTTAATTGCAATGATAAGGTCACTTTTTGAATTATTCATCTAATACTGTATCAAATTCCATAGGGCCAAAACCGCCTTGTCCTTTATGTTCTTAGAGAAATAACAGGCCCAAAGGACTTTTATCAGTCATCTTTAAGAAATAGTGATAGCAAATATATTTTAACACTGAAAACTTGCAACCAGAAATATATAGTAGTTGAATGCTGGATTCAATATTAATGTTAGCTCTCATATAAAAATTGCTGATGTCACTTTGTAAATATCTCTATCATTGTTCTGTTATCGATGAATGTAAACCCATTGACTACACATGTACCTAGTCATCACACTGCTGTGAAATGGTGTAAAAGCATTGCTACCCACAAATCGTGATGTTTACTTCAACCATTCCTAAACTAAGTGTTATTTCCAGTCATATCAGTGTACCACAATATTAATACACTAATTACCTAGGTCATATTCATGGCAAAATTACATAGTATTTAACATTGAATTTCACCATGATTCCTTAAATGTTAATTTAACTCAGCCTGCCTAATTATCTATCTCTAGCGATAACAAAAGATTTTAAAATGTTTGTAACAGACATTAAGTGGGTTTATTATTTTGGTATTGGAAACTGATTTTGAAATTTTCATATTTCGGTTTGTTGCCTCAATGGTTTCTTGTTTACGAAATACATCACAAATTTTGTTGTAAGTCCATTCAAAATATTTCATCGGTATCCCTCTGTATTATATTCCTTTAACATTTTTTGTTAAAGTACATCTTATGATTTCATTGTTTGGTGCAGCTTCCAATCACATGCAAACCTCACACAACGTTTGATATCAACAGAAAGAAGTGGATTAACCAGAGTCAGACTCAAAGTTCCAAACGAGAACTTTCTTTGTTGACTGAAAAGTAAACACATTGTGAGACATAACTACAATCTGTACACCATGCCTGAGATTTACCCTTGTAAACGCCGACATTTTCTTGCCATTAAGAATCTAAAATGTAAAGGGTTGATATGAGGGGTTCACACAGGACAGCTCAACATGAACATGGGACACACCATTGACGAACAGCTAACAAGTATGTTTCTGCCATCAAAAATGTTGTGATATTTTTGTGATATTGTCATGAAGAACATGCTGCCTATCATAAGAAAAACATGACCTTGACATTTGCATTCTTGTATGTATGGAATACATTGTTACAAACAGCTGGAATATGTTCCTAAACGAAAGCATTCAAATTGAAGGAATAGATTGTTAAATCCATGTTAACAGTCTTCATGTCGTGTGATGTCTGAAGTGCTATCTGTAATGTGAAAACTTAGAAGTATGTGATATGGTGATAAATCACAGAAAGGAATTTGTAGTGTTACAGATATATTTGGTTCAGTGATATGGTGACAGATAACTAGATGGTGCTATATATATATTTGGTTCAGTGATATGGTCACAGATAACAACTAGATGGTGCTATATATATATTTGGTTCAGTGATATGGTGACAGATAACTAGATGATGCTATATATATATTTGGTTCAGTGATATGGTGACAGATAACAACCAGATGGTGCTATATATATATTTGGTTCAGTGATATGGTCAGATAACTACTAGATGGTGCTATATATATATTTGGTTCAGTGATATGGTCACAGATAACTAGATGGTGCTATATATATATTTGGTTCAGTGATATGGTGACAGATAACTAGATGATGCTATATATATATTTGGTTCAGTGATATGGTGACAGATAACAACTAGATGGTGCTATATATATATTTGGTTCAGTGATATGGTCACAGATAACTAGATGGTGCTATATATATATTTGGTTCAGTGATATGGTCACAGATAACTAGATGGTGCTATATATATATATATTTGGTTCAGTGATATGGTCACCGATAACTAGATGGTGCTATATATATATTTGGTTCAGTGATATGGTGACAGATAACATCTAGATGGTGCTATATATATATATATATTTGGTTCAGTGATATGGTGACAGATAACTAGATGGTGCTACATATATATATATATTTGGTTCAGTGATATGGTCACAGATAACTAGATGGTGCTATATATATATTTGGTTCAGTGATATGGTCACAGATAACTAGATGGTGCTATATATATATTTGGTTCAGTGATATGGTCACAGATAACTAGATGGTGCTATATATATATTTGGTTCAGTGATATGGTGACAGATAACAACTAGATGGTGCTATATATATATTTGGTTCAGCAATGTGGTCACAGATAACAACCAGATGGTGCTACAGATATATTTGGTTCAGCGATATGGTCACAGATAACTAGATGGTGCTATATATATATATATATTTGGTTCAGTGATATGGTCACAGATAACATCTAGATGGTGCTATATATATATTTCGTTCAGTGATATGGTCACAGATTACAAGTAGATGGTACTGATTATAAAGTCAGTTAAAGGATGCAACATACTGGATTCTACATTTAATGCAAACTCTTCTTAACAATATTGTGATGAAGGAAATACCTCTGTTTCCTAATCAAACAAAGTATTGTTGTAATGAAGTACATGAAGTATTGACAAAATTGATAGAAAATACCATGATACAGATATATCATGCGATTTATCATTTTGGAAGAAAAGGAAAGTACTAAATAGAGAATAGAAGCTACCTAGTGTATATCTAAGATAAAATATACTTCATAAAATCAATACAAGTAAATTAGATAGCTCTAAAGTGTTTTAACACAATGTAGGATGAGATCTGTTTCTGCTTACTTTTCCTTGATGGAGTTTGTTGAGATTTGCATTCGGTCTCGTACAGCCATGAAAAACACTTCTTCTCTCGTTGACAGGAAAAAGTCCAGCATGGATTTCTGTCGTGAAATGGTGAAGACACTACATACTTCTGTTTTTTATGTTATACTGATCATTATTATATAGCTGACACTTGTACATATTCAGACTTATCAGAGAAAGCCTTATTCTACATATTTCACACACCTTTTTCTTACTTACTAAGGATACCTATTGGTGCAGAAATGCTGTATGAAGACAGACTCAACATGTATGTCTCAATTGTCAATGGTTTTCTGATATCATCTCTCATTCCTATGACGGAAAGCTATGAAACCCAAAAAGGACATCTAACAGAAGAAAGTATTGTTATATTTAGGCATTACTTTATCAACCCTCAAAACTAAATGTAATGTTCAAATTCCTGTATAATCAGAGCAGTGCTGAGCAAGTTTGTCCAGCGAAAAAATGAACACTAAAAAACCTGTAAAATCATACTACTTTGGAAACAATATCCAATCTAGGATAAACTAGGTATCACACTAATTATAAAAGTTTTTGTCTTAAAATGATATGCTCACAAATATTGATGTGTTAATTAGTATGTAAAATCATACTACTTTGGAAACAGTACAATATCCAATCTAGGATAAACCAGTTTTTCACACTAATTATAGAAGTTTTTGTCTTAAAATGATATGCTCACTAATATTGATGTGTTAATTAGATGCTACCTCATATGGTCGCACACAAGACATTCATATGAACATGAGTGCCAAGGGGGCTTCACCTATAGGCACTTACCTGCACATCCCTATTTGCATTGAAGAGCATAAGTGACATGAATGCCAGGACCTCTCTTGCAATAAGATCGCTCCGCCGAGCCACATGAGGAAGCACTTTCTCCACAAATCCATGGACGTTGACAGCATTCTGGACTTCCTTGATGTACAACAGTTGTCTGTTAATACAACAAATATTAAACAGTAATTACTTTCCATTTGTAAGTCACAATAGACCCATGCCTGGTAATAACCCCATCCATACTATTCAGTAGCATTTTGAAGTAATAGAATTATTTTTAATTGCATTCAACCCATCCCCTTTCTTTGCATCAGAGGGAATGTGTTGCCCACCTGGGTTGCTGTAATAAGCCCATCCCCCTTACTTTGAGTCAGAAATAAATGAGTTGGCCCCTGGGGTCTTGTGGTAAACCCATCTCTTTACTATTAGCAGAGGTAATGTGTTGGCTCACTTGGGTCCTCAGATGAGCCAATCGCCTTACTCAGAGTCAGAGGTAATGAGTTGGCTTCCAACGGTTATTGTAGGATAAGTTTAATACTCTAAACAAGTTAAATTCCTATAAATAAAAAGGGAGATTTGTCTCCCCTTTTAGATATAAACCAGGATATTTGTTTAAATCTTAATGAAATTGAGCCAAAATCACTCAAACAGAAATGTTACTTTTTGATCTTCTGGTCGGCAGCCCTTGTATCCCAGTCTTCAGGAAGTTTACGTTCCTCATTGTGTATAATGGCACGTAGTATCTGCATACATTTGATGTCCAGCTCCTCAGTATGGGCTAGACCTTGACGGATTGACTCCTGGGATATCCTGTTCACACAGTCAATATTGATATTTCATATGTATCAAATCAAAATCATGTTCTGAAAACTCTACAACACAGCTATGAGTCTAACTGTCATTCATCATTCCTGCTTAAGTCATAGCGACTATTTTTCTCAAACTTGTTGAGATTATGAAAAGTTACAAAAAAAAAAACCCATTCCCTCCACATCAATGCACACAAGTTTAATTAATTTTATTACCAGTACAGGATCATTTAAGATCTCTCCAACGGTCTCAAATATACAATAGTCACAATACATTATGTAAATCAAAAATAATAATTTCGGCTTTGTAATTGTATAAAAGTTCTATCCAATGCTTATGTAATAACCCGGTTTATAGTATATGTAATGTCGATAGGATCAGCAATGTAATCTATTGCCAAATGAAAATCATATCCTAATTTTTACAAAGCCATCGTGGTACATCACAGAATCTAAGACATGTGGTATAGTTTAATTTCACAGGACTAATATTTTATTGTCATACCCATTCAGGCTAAAACCACAAGGAATAAAATGTGTATTACTATGTTTTTTTATTACTGAGGTATATAATCTACTTTTTCTGAAATTTCAATTGACTGTAAAATGCTTGTTAGGAATTTTATGTCAGCCTATCTCTATAGCCACAAAATCAGTGAATATATCCAACTGTACAGTACCCACAGATGACATTCTTTCAAAATTTTCGCTGAAAACTCTTAAAAGGTAGCTTTCCTAAACTATCAGGATGAGATAACACTTACTGCAGCTGTTCTAGAAGTTTTTTGGCGGGTAGAAACCTCTTGGCAGGTTTTCTCTCATGGACATCAATGAAGCATTTGACAAGACTTTGGAACTCTTCACCTAATAACAGCTCCTCATTGGTACCCAAGGCTGTGTATTCTGTACACAAAAGTCAAACAACAAAGTGTTACCAAGAAAAATATAACTTTTTTTCAATATTCTAAACAGGCCACTGTCATCCTGAACAGGCCACTGTCTTTCTGAACAGGCCATTTTCATTTACCGATTGGTAGTTTCCTGTCCTTTTAGCTATAGGTTACTGGCATGTTGATCATGTTCAATGTCAGCCCTGTTTGAACTCGAATTAATCTTTGCAAGCATTATTTCATATCATTTGAATGGGTTCAATAACACTGACTGAAGGTTAACCATAGCAGGAAATAGTCAATATTTCTCTTGTAATCTGCGCATATATATATATAACTAATATAAAAATCTAACATACATATGATAATGTTAGATATGACTTATGCCATACAAACCTCGTTTTGATTTCTTGAATTTGATTTGAGCAGCAACTGTATTATAGCCCTGATAGATGATGTTGTTATTTTTGGCAAACGTGTGGAACTTGGCATTGAGTTCTAGCTCTCCTGCATAGTATTCCATATTTCCCTGTACAAATGATCAAAAAATGTCAAGTTATCAAACCTGAGATAACAGGACAACCTACACTTTCTTGTCAAATCATGAACTGGAAATAAACAAGATCCTGATGTCACCTAAACAAGATATTTTTTTATATGAAATCGAAAATTTTCCTCAAGACCTTACAGTGCATGTGACACTATGGAGCCTTACTACATCATTAGTGAAGCAATGAAAAGCTAAAGTTATTCTAAATTTGTTTGCTGTTCTTATACCAAAAACATTTAATATATTGTTTCAAACCAAGTAAAAGAGGGGGTGGTTTTGCTCCTTTACAAGGAGGTATATCTTTTTCACAAAAATAAAAGCATACCAATGGAGGAATATATATTTATGTATATTATCTGAAATGTTAGCTGTTTATTGACTACAGATGGGGAATAGTCAAGATTTCACACTATCAATACACAGCATTAAATCATTTTATAAAATGACCCAAAGAAAATCTTTGATCTTAAGAGTAGCCTACCTTGCGCACAGCACTTTTTGTATCTCCAAGTCTCATCTCTGTGGAAAACTTCTCCAACACACTGATATATAGCTAAAAGATACATTCTTTGTTTAATATAGAAGAGAAAAAGACTAGACAAACAGGATTAAATATGAAAAAACAACATCAGCATACATACAAAACTTATTTCCTTGATTCTTTGTTGCATTTTTCAAAATGTTTGAAATTTCAAACTTTCAATTTTCATGAATTAAACTTCAAATCTGAGGACTAGTTACATCATGGTACATTAGAAATCTTATTGCATTTTCCTGGTGTACAAGTAAACGGGTAATGATTAATACACAATGGCAGCCTGTACTCACACTTTTGTTGGTGGTTGACACGGAGATGAGGATAGTGATAGAGGCAGCTATGGCCTTCATATGGACAGGATTGGTAAGGAACTGGCCGACCACCTCGCAGAAGGACTATAAGAGAAGGGGATCTGTCAGTAAAATTTTACAAATGGAGTTTGCTGAAAGTAATCTTTGCTCTTCATATTGGAAATTTCATCTCACAACTTCAAAACTTGACAAACAAAATAACTTGCTACCAAGAAAATAGATGGCATTTCTTTATTTTCATAAATCAGAATATTTTAAGACCAACTTATTTTTACAATTCAATATTGAATAAAACATAAAAAACTTTCTGGAATTAAGAATGGAAAAACTTCGCAAAAACAGTGGCTTCACAGAATTTTACATATTTTTGTTTACCAACCTGGGATGATATATAATACAAACACAAAACTTGATAGAGTAGGTTTGATTTCAGACAGACAGCCACATATTACAAATTACATAAAACAACTCACAAGAGCCGGCTACAGTAAGAGATAAAAGACAATACCAAAAGGGAGATCATGAATATGCTGTAAATAATACATACTGATAGCCCTCCAGCAAGGGTTTCTGTTGTGTCCATTTCTCCTGGGTAGAGATCTTTGTCGGGAGAGTAGAACATGGAATAGAATACCTGGTGTCAGAATAGAAATGAGTTTTAAATATCAATCACTCTGGCAATAATAAATGAAATGTTTTTTCCATCTATGAAATGTGAATATTAATCATTATAAGCAAATATTTAAACAATGTGTTTTTTGATAAAGTTCAGGACATTTTCAGGATCCTACCTCTACAAATGGAAGGACAGCCTCCAGTACATAGAAGATACAGCCGTGTAGTGTCGCCTTGGTGTCTCCAGCCACCGCAACAGCACTGATAATACACAAACATTTCAGTTAGATACAGCATACAGTACAACACAGCTAGTATTTACTCTAAGTTGTATCCCTGATACAGCTACAGAATCTATCAATAACAATTAAATGTTTGCTAGTACAACACAGGATACATCACAGCAATTGCATTTTGACCGTTCCTTCAGAATGAAGTATTTTTGAGTACAAGGTTGGACACAGTCCTGGAAATGTTGGGTACTGAATAACAGTTACAGTTGTACACTTCTGAAGGAGTGTAAAAGTGTACACTCCCGAAAGAGTGTAGAAGTATTTTGGCCAGTAGAAACCACAGATCATAATTTGTGAACTCCTTTGATACAGCTCTATTGTTGTGATAAAGTGGTATTTAAAAACCTGGAATCATAACAATTACTTACTAATTGGTTTTTGAGTACTAAGCTACTTTTTTGTGGATGGTTGATGCTTACAATGTCCAAATATAAAGCCAGATAGTTGCGAGGCTATAGCAGCCATTTACTGGTTCCAAGTACCTTACTTTTGGTGAGATAATTTATAAATGTTTCCTTTTTTGGCATGTTTCGTGTTGCAACTTTCTTTGGCCTTTTTGTCTTTAGAGACGTACCTTTTACCAGGAGGCTGTCGGAGCAGTAGGGCTACTCGATCTCTGTGTTTTGTTATTGTATCTGATAACTGTTTGATGGTTTCTGCAGCAGAGGCCACAAAGTTCCACATTTCTCTGAATAAGAAAGACATTGATAAAAAGAAGCAATTGAAATGCATTAAAGTATTTTTAGTCCTTTTGTGCTGTTGTAGATTATTCAGAGGTTCTGAAATAACTTCAGCTTGATGTACAACATTTCTCATATAAATATGCGAGTTCTTTGAGCTTGAGATAAATTTCTATTCCATTGTGAGGTAGATATTTAAGGCTCACATGCTGGCTGTTGTATGGGTGGTTGAACATAACTTGTCATGTTGTAGGTAGCAGCTTATTGTGAGGTAGATAGTTAAGGCTGACATGCTGGCTGTTGTATGGAAGGTTGAACATTACTTGTCAAGTTGTAGGTCAGAGCTCATTGTGAGGTAGATATTTAAGGCTGACATGCTGGCTGTTGTATAGGAGGTTGAACATAACTTACTTGTCATGTTGTAGGTCAGCAGCTCCACTCTCCACTAGATTCCCAGCAGGTTTCAGGTATACCCATAACATGTACTTGACAAAGGGTTGCTTCAGGTTACCATCAATATCCCTGTGGTTCAACACCCATAAAATCTCCTCCACTGGCATAATGGTCTGACACAGAGACTCAATAAATTTGTTCTCCCCCTAGAAAAGTAAAAAATCAAATTCAACCTCATGTCATATAGTCTTTGAGATGTGATATATATGAAAATACCTAGTCCACACGCTAAATATAGTACAAAGATTCATCCAAAAGAGGTGTTCCAATGTTGTACATAAATATAATTCTAAACTCTTGGACAGCTATCAAAGGTTTTTATCATCTTATAAAGTAGTACCTATTTAAAGTCCTTCCATCCATATACTTAGACCCCAAATCTCATAAAACACCAAATCTGTTTAGCTTTCATCTTTAAACATGAAAATGATCATCATCCTAGACATAAAACCCATTTCCACTTCAAATCATCTCAATCTTGACCTTTTAGCTCAAATCAATTAAATGCTAAAGCTAACATCCCAACTAATTTATTTTCAAAAGTTGAATCTTAACTAACTCAACCATACATATTTGGCCTCTAACACTTGACCTTGAACCTCTCTGACCTCTGACCCTTACCTCTGCACAGGTTGCTAGAAGGTCCACTAGGCTGATGAAGTAGGCAAGATGACCTGGATCTCGTTTGTTTGTCAAAATCTGCTCTCTACAAAAGAAATTGATTGGCAAATATTCGTTAATATTTGGCCAGTAAAAACACTGAACTTTAAACACAGGGTGCACAGATGACACAACAAAAGACTTGCTCTATTTTATACTAATTAAACATGTCTTGGCCTTGGTGTCTTTACCTGCTATCTCTTGGTTGGTCCAACACATAGGCTGCCTTACGGAAGTTCTGCATGATGTACTTCATTACAAGGGCCTGATTGCGTTTGATGGTCAGGTCTAGCCCCTCTACTTTAACCAGAACCTTCAGGAGTTCTAGAAACTCAGGAGCCTCATTCTGGTATTGTGCCGCCAGCAGCACAATCTTCTGAACCTGTTTGGAGTGCACCTTTAGACATGTGGTTTGGTTAGCGATGAACAGCTATAAGAGACAAAACCAAGTGAATCAGTTTTCCAGTTAGAGATCAGGTGAAGGTGTACCAGCTGTTTCAGAAGTTTTGTTCAGACAAAGTAAACAACAAGCAATAATTTCAGTTGTTGAGGTATAAAATAACGAGATATTACAGGTGGATTAGTAATCAATATGACAGTATATAAATTAAATAGGTACCTCTTTGAGTGCCAGTGCGAGACACGAAGGGACAATTTGGACCTCCAACAGTGTGTCCAAGTTATTGAACATGGCCTCCTGCATAGCACTGTTCTCTCGTGTGATCAGTGCCAGTAAGTCTAGTGTCTTCTTAAAGATCTTCTTCATCCCCTTGTATTGCTGGTCCTATGAATACCAAGAAACAATGAAACACATATCAAGAAAAGATATTCAAACGCGATTTTCTTGTTTAACAAAGGTTTAGCGACAATGACTTACCACAAGCTTGGCATCAATCTCCTGAGAGAGAATGTCCAATATGGCAGGTAAAACACCTGTAGAATAGATAAAAATAATTCAATAAAACGTTTTAAAATTCATTCCTATTCATAGATGAATGATGAATGATTTCCAGTGTTTCAATGTTTGGTGTAGGAATTAAGTTTTTGGTTTGAAGCAGGAGTTGAAGGAGCGAGAGATTGAGGGTGATAGATTTAAATTTGGAGCACGGAGTGTTGGTATGCAGTTTTTGTTGTGGAGTGTTTGGTTATGGTTTCCGAGTGTACAGTGTTTGGTGTAGTAAGTTTCGGTAGTTGGTTGTTTGTTGTTGGGTGTACGTGTCTGTTGTAGCATGTTTACATAGTTGGTTGTAACTTGTTGGGTGTACATGTTTAGTGTGGATGTTTTTTCCTTGTGTGGGATGTTCAAGAAAGTATGGACTGACTAACTAACAGTTAATCTGCTTCATTTACTTACCATGGCTGACAAGGATGTTCTGGTTCATAAAGTGGGGTTCTTCTATGTTCTTTGGTAGGTGACAGAACCTGAAGATTAAACCATGAAAGATTTGAGTAAAAACAAATCAGCATATAATTTCTGATCCACTTGTACCTGTAACAACAGCATGGATGCACTTCACCAACATCCCTTTATTGATCTAAATCCTGATACACTTTTTCATAAAACAGACATACCTCCATCCAAATGTTATCATCCCTAGACTTTCCCTGTTGTATTACCTACCCTGCTAATTCATCCAGAATCTCTCCTGTTAATGTGACCTGTTCATCGTTCAGCTTCTGTTTGGCCAGTCTACGGAGGACTGGTAAACTGCGCTGGACCTCCCGGTGGACTTTTGCTGAGTCATGTGTAAGTAAGATCTGGGCCTTACTCGCTAACTGGAACATGTCACTTTGAGATGAGTAGAGCTTATTGAGTATATCCAGTGACTTGGTAACCATCTTGTCATAACTGTACATAGACAGATCCTGTCAAACAGAAGGAGAACTGCCACAGATTGATGCAGAGACAGGGGAGAAAACTCATACATCAGGGGAGATAAATCATTTATGTTTACATGAAGATGACAAGTGTATGACGCTTTGAATCAAACACATAAAAGAATGTTAAATTACTGACCAGGTTAATTGATATACTGTTATAAAGTGAAATAAATTCTATACACATTTAAACAAATAGAGGAACTAAAGATAGTTATTGAAACAAGGAAGATAATTTGTAAAACTCTTAATTTGTGAAAACTTATGACAGTAACTGAGACAATGGAAGTCAAATTAATTATGGAAAGCAGTTCACAGAGAAACTTCCAAGCATGTTAATATAATTGGATATGTCCAGTAAAATCTTACCTTTAGTACACTGGTGGTGCTCTCTATATCAAATATTGATGACGAACTGACCATCTCCTTGAGTTCTTTCAACACCTGTTTTTGGTGGCGAACCACCTTCCTGTAACACACAGTCATTTAAATGTCAGTAGCTTTTCTTTATTAAAACTATATCCAGGACAGATTTATCTTATAAGCTTTTTCTTGTCATGATTATTTATTATACTTCATACAAAGGAGTGAGTCGGGAAACCATTTTAGAATATTTATATGACCAGAAGATGTGTAACTTGTATTCATTGTTTAGATAAGGAAAGGTAAAAAGTAGGACTGGAGAATATACCAATTCAGACATCACAAATCAAATTATTAGTGCATTTTATTAGATCATCTCTGCTTTGTTTCCATGACAAACTTGAAACACTTAAAAATGGCACACAAAGGGCATTTAAATGAGTTGTTTAGCATTGAGACTGGAGTTGTGGAACCATAAACGAGAGAAACTTCAAAATAGTTTTTCTATTCAAAATTATTATCAAATAATCAATACATTTAAATTATTTTTAACACATGGTTGTTAATTGCCTGGTAGATGTGAATCAAAGAAAAGATCATTCTACCTGTTTAATAACTGGGATTAAACGTTATATTATTTAGCAGATTGACTGGTATATCGTATATGTCACTGTTGTCAGAAACTGGTACTACAACAAAAGCACAATAAAACAGAGCTACAACAGGTCAGTAAAGGTAAAGGCTAATACTACAGTAAATTATATAGAAGATTTCCATTTCACAGCTTTTTTTTAGAAGGAGTAATCTCCCTTTTATACCCAGAGATACTTTTCCTGTCCTGATATTAAACCTCATTTTGATGCACAGCATCAATATGATAATGAGTAATAAAAGGACACTGGAAATTATTTTTGCGTTTTTAATATTGTTATTTCTTTTTTAAATTACTGAAATTACACACAGACACATATATATGAATATTGCTATCCCATTTAGACATGACTTGAATGCATTTTTTTAATTGAAATATGTATAAATTTAAAAATGCATTAAAAATTGATAGAACCATTTTCTCCATAGTAAAATATACACTCAATTACAAACCACTAACTGTTCAAAGTTAGATTAAATGCAGCAAAACTTTCAAAGTGATAAACAACTGCCTCCCTAAGTTATTCTTTTCCTACAAATAATATCTCTATATCTCTTGACAGGCATGCAAACTTGACTTTTCGTTTAAAGTATACCTTGTTTTATGTTAGACATGCAAGGATAGTTTGTTTTAGCTTAAATGTCATGTATTTAAAGCTCATCATTTACACTGTAACACACCAGTAATAATTCATTAATAGACAGCAGCGATGTCACAAGTCTAATGATCAATTTATCATATTTACAAATTACACGATATATCTGCATGTTCCAGTTAAAGTTGGAAGCTCGCAAAAGCACTTCTTTGTTAGGACAAGTGAATAATACAAAATATGCTGCAAGGTTAACAAATATTGGGCCTGATCTTCATTTAGAGTAAATTGAATTTGGAAAACCTATTTTAAAGTCTAACAAACTTGCCTTCTTTGAAAAAAGAACATGTACAAGAATACTGTTATATCTGCAGATAAAAAGATTAAAAAAATAAATGTTTTCCCATCATTAATTTCTCCTTTGATAGGATTTTTTTTCTGTGAAAATAAATCTTATTAATTTAATAATGTACCATGCCTGTCCCACAAAATAACATTTCCATATTGGAACCTGGACAGTTTTATTGTAATCAGAATGAAACAAAATGACTGCCATCGAGACTTTGTGCGTCTATTTCATAAAATTGACTTTGTACTGTTAAAGGTGATATGTGTCAAAGGGATGATAATTTTAGATTTAGATTTGATGATGACTTTCAGTTTCAACATTCTGTTGATACATCAAAAGGCTATATATTGGAAGTTAAAAAGGTGAATATAGACTCTTTTAAAAGTTTAAATGTTAAGACTCCAGACTTTGTATTATCAGTATTATCACTGTTACTTATTGTTTACATGGCAATGATCATACCAAGAATACCATGTGACTAGTATCCTCTTGGAGGGACTGTGAGTAATATTATCAAGTTTAAAAGGGTTAAGCAGGGACGACATTAGGGAGAAGTACAGAAAATGGTGGGGAGGGGTAAAAAGGTTTAGCATTTATAAAACGAATATACAATTCTCCAATTCTGTAGTCAAGTCAAATTGAGCATTTGATTGGATAAGAATAAGCAGCCTGTAAATAAAAAAAAAAAACACAATATAGCAGCACTGGTGCATTTCTTACTCATCAATGTTTGTGTGATCCATCACTTTGTCGGCCTCTCTCCGCCTGCAGCAACCGGGCTGTATCATACTGACACAACAAAAGTGGAGGGGGCTAAGTTAGTCTATATCAACTGGTGGGCTGCATCATACTGACACAACAAAAGTGGAGGGGGCTAAGTTAGTCTATATCAACTGGTGGGCTGTATCATACTGACACAACAAAAGTGGAGGGGGCTAAGTTAGTCTATATCAACTGGTGGGCTGTATCATACTGACACAACAAAAGTGGAGGGGGCTAAGTTAGTCTATATCAACTGGTGGGCTGTATCATACTGACACAACAAAAGTGGAGGGGGCTAAGTTAGTCTGTATCAACTGGTGGACTGTATCATACTGACACAACAAAAGTGGAGGGGGCTAAGTTAGTCTAACTGGTGTGCTGTATCATACTGACACAACAAAAGTAGAGGGGGGCTAAGTTAGTCTAACTGGTGTGCTGTATCATACTGATACAACAAAAGTGGAGGGGGCTAAGTTAGTCTATATCAACTGGGGAACTGTATCATACTGACACAACAATGGTGGAGGGGGCTAAGTTAGTCTAACTGGTGTGCTGTATCATACTGACACAACAAAAGTGGAGGGAGCTCAGCAAGTCAATTTGGGCACAGCAGGTCATTTTTTACTTTTTGGTATCTTTCATGACGATTTGTCGACATTACAACCCCCGGATGTCTAGAAAAAGGATGTCCAAAATTGCATTGAAATAAAAGATGACTGAGGACTTGAAGGGTCACATTATACTGAGGAGTTTATATCAATTTAACCCCAGGTGTGTAAATATCTGACATGAATGGACAGTCTGAAGTTAAATTGACATTAAAAATAAAGATGTTTCTTAAAGACTTATTGTTATTTGGCCACTTTGAGTCCATTGCTGGTAGGGGCTGTAAGTACTGAAGAACTCTATCTTACACAGAAAGGGACACACAGTAGAGTTACCAGGTAACAAATTTTTACAATTTGGATTCACTTTTCATGGAAATTGATGGTGGTGCGATGAATGGGTTTTTTACTCTTACACCCAGACTGAGAAATCACTGTTCATGGAACAGACGAATGTAAAATTAAAAGAAAATATTTTCAGATATTTAAACACAATGTGACCCCTTGTGTCCAGCCTTTAATTAACTAAGGGAACAAGATCTGCCCCTTCTGAAGTAAAAATTCTTATCTTTGCACCAAAGGCTGACCATGAACATTTTGGTCTAAATTCATTAACAAGTCATATAGATTTGTTGTAAGATTTTGTATGTTTATTTCAGCAATTTTTAACCTCTCCCTTTAATGAAACAATTTTGTTGTAATTTATACAGACATTTCACCAATGTTAGCACTTTTACATTAAGCTCAAATTATCTATGACACACAAGGCAACAAAAATTATTAGAAAAGAAATTTCCTAGAAAGTCACAAAACGAAGCACTAAAAAGCTAGGAAATATCCATGTAATTAGATCATACAAGTGACCAATAAATTATAGTATTTTAAATGATAACTAATGCTGAATTAAGGAACGATATATTAGAACATTCTAGAATGTTATACATTTGAGCACTTAATTGGTATGTGCATTTAAACACATCAACATTTAGCAATCAAACATTAATGGAAGTGCTTGACAAACTGTGTGAAATCGCAAAACAAAACCACACAAACAATTGTATGTGCTTGATTCTAGTCTATATTGTACATATGGCAGTGAATTTATATGCTATAGTAACTGAGCAGACACAATTAATATCTGACTGGTGCAAATAAACTTTTACGCTACAGCAAGTCAGTGAATATAATATTTGTCAGGCAGTGAATTTACAAGGAAAATTTGAAGTACAGTTATATGTTTTGTGGAAAGACTGTGATGCACCTTTTCATTATAGTGTTTAGGACCCAACCTCCTATGCATCATTACTAAAATTACCTCCCTTGTTGGTACCTACTTTGATTGGTCATGTGGGTTGAAGCTCTCATACATCAGAGGTTCCAAGGTGCGATGGCCTTGGTTCTGCTCGCATTGCTTAAACTTGGTCACAAAGGCCTGAAATCCAACACAAGATCAAATCTAATTTATATTATTATTAAAAATCAGCTCATTCAAGGTTAAACATCCAGTTTAAAAACTTAGCACAGAACAAATTAAGAAAACGTATGATGACTGTACATTTTACTAGTTGGTGGCTGTCTTACTGAACACCACATGAAAGGCCCACAGCATGCTACCCAGAGGAATTGGGTTAAAATTTCTAACCCAAGTACACAACCACTATAGAGGATGATGGACTGTGATATCAAGGTTCCTGAAAAACAACCTGCACAGTGTAGAGATTGTGACATACATCTCAGATCTTTCCTGAAGTTGTAAAGTCTGATACTAAACCAACAGATCTATCATGACCCCCCCCCCTCCTACATTAGAATAGGATCACAAGTAATGATGTAACAATACTCACTTTTAGCCTGAGGTTCCGTTGGAATGTGAGAAGGAAGTCTAATACCTCCATAGCACTGTAAGTATATAACAGAAACACTGTACTTATCTAGAGAGATGTAAAGAAGAAACATGTTTATTTAACATCCAACAGGTTTTTGTAATAAATCCAATACAAACCTACACAATGACCTTTTTGGTGAAGTTTGATTAGAGATTGCCCATATTAAGTTAATTTGATTGAATTCCACACCAGCACGAAAATCATTAGAAAATACCTACTGATAAGGATCATATTTTACTTCCTCACCGATACTTAGCATTAACAATGGCCTCATTCTCCTTGCTCTGGTCAAATCTACCCTTGTTTCTGTACTGTGTTACAAGCTTCTGGGAGTCCTTCGTATAGCCTGTCAAAAGAAAGCACTTCGATATTATATATTGGAAAATTTACCATGTATTATTTGTGGTGTTTCCCATACAACATTTCTCCAATCTCCAGAGATATTACTGGAGATATCACTTGTGATATTACTTTCAATACTTTACTCTCAGTAAAGCTATATAATATGTCATTTTCACTAAATGGATTGGTAATATCAGATATCTCTTTGTTTCTTTGTTAAGCTTCCATCTGAGTTTGATTTTTGGCATATGAAAGTTTGGATTTACTTAATTGTTGTCTTACGGAAAAGAAAAAAAATTTGTTAAACAATCTTTTACTTGATTTAGGAAAGACTTTAGGTAAATCTTGACCTTGGATTGACCTTTCCCTTGCAAAAGGCTTCAGAAATTACCAGTAAAAATGTCTTCCAGCCTGGGAAATGTTTACTATAGAATGGCCATTCCTTCTTCAATGGAAAGACTGACTTTAAACGGACTTTCTTTGTTCTTTGGTATGAAACTTGCATGGATGAAATTTCTCCTAAGGAAAGGTTAAGCCATATCTGCACTACATTTCTTTTGTTTTGTGGAGAATTGACCTTGGATTGATCTACCTATATCCAATTTAAAGGCTGACTATAATGACCTATAATTCGCTAAGCGAAAGGTTGTCTATAGTTTACCTACATCACTCCTGAGAAAAGGCTGACTATCCACAGACCTACCTTTGCCTTTGTCCTTAGGGAATGGTACGTCATGTGTACCATCTAGAAGACTTAGGAGAGGAGTCAGCAGCTGTTTGACATCATCTATATCCAGATAGTACCCAAACTTCACCAGGTGTTGTAGTAACCGCAACACCTGAAACATATATTTATATCCACATCAATACATACATTGACATTTCCAATACACTAAATCTATACACCAGAATGAAAGAAAATAAAAGACAGAAACTGCACTATATTAATCATGTACTCCGAGGTACCTTACAGCGAGGTAATAAACAGAGGATGGCAAATATCTTTGATGTGTTTATCTGTCCTAACATTTGTGAATTTACCTGTTCTATCACCTGGTGAATTTATCTTTCCTATCTGCAGGTAAATTTACCTGTATGATCAGTTGGTGAATTTACCTGTTCTATCAGTACATGAATTTACCTGTATAATCAGTAGGTGAAGTTACCTGTTCTATCAGTACATGAATTTACCTGTATAATCAGTAGGTGAAGTTACCTGTTCTATCAGCAGGTTGTGACCTATTTCTGAAGCAGTCATCTGACAGTTCTGACGTAGAAACTCTGCTAACCAGTCTCTCAGTACAGGAAATATGGTGACAAGGTCCATAACCACCTGATAAATACATCACATTTTAAATTAATTTCCTTGTAAGGCTTTTCGTCAATACCAATAAAACATTTGCACTTGTGATTCCTTAATACACGGTGTAAGATATAATGATATGCTCATGAGTTGGTGACATTATTGGTAAATCTGCCTCACATGGAAGCAACAATGAATAATGAATAAAATAAACTTAAAACATTTCCGAAGCTAAAAGTTTAGTTTACAAAATAAATACCATGCATCACATGCACAAACATTTTTATCAATAAACAAATAAATAAAATAAAATGGAAAAAATCACCGACATCTTTACAAGTTGCCATCCATCCGACCTATGAACTTGTGAAGTAGGTGACTAACTATCAGGTCTGCCAGATATATGGTAAAAAATAATCGATACTTGATTCACCATCTTTCCAACACCAGCTTAAGATGGTTTTTTGTTCCATATAAAGGGCCATATTGGGACAATTTACGCTATCATTCTCGATTATAGATTTAACTTTATCTATGGTTTCATGTTCTATGTATGTGATGTAACTTTTGTAATATTTTGTGTCTTGATAAAGGGACAGATTGCTTCAATAATTTGACAATTTACTTGTCTGCATTGCTTGCTGTTATTACTTCATTGATCACACATCTATTCCAGTAATACACATCCAACAAACATTTTGGTTTGTTAGGATCAAGGACCGATATTGGACCATACTATCAATATTACTTACCAGATTCTATTCAAACTCTTAAAACTATCATATGACATCAGCAAAAAAATGAGCGGAAGAAATGGGCCCCTCAATTCTGAGAATGCATGGTCTCTTAATTCTTCTAATTACTATACATAAAATGACCAGTTGTACATATTTCATATCGATGAAGAATGACCTATTACTCCATGATTTTAAGATTCTTTACATTTAAATACTTCCATGAAACCATTTTCGCTTCCATGACAGTAAATCAGAATGTAAGTTCACAAATATTTTTATTTGTATTTACATACAGCCATTAACAACAAGAGCTGTTTGAGAACAGCATGGCTCAACTATTGATTCACAGATAAATTTACACCTTTTCGGCCCAAGAAATATGAAACATATGGTCCAGCATATAAATGATAAATCATACTGAACATATTAAACGATCAACCACTTATTGGTATTTCTGATCCAGTACGGCTTGAAATAATTTGCTAAAAAACTTTAATGAATGACTTACTCCTGAAATTCACAAACAGAAATTTAACCATTTTTGGCCAAAGATATAAGAAAAATCTGATTTGGCATGTTGATAACGATTCATTATATTCATACTTGAACTAACTAATGATCAATAGTCCCTTGGACTTTTCTGATCCAGTGCTGCTTAAAAAATCTTTAATTTAAACAATTTAAGGTAGGATGCTGCAAATGTTTGAGTGACTGCTTTAGCCCACATATTCTTCGATGAGCCAAGCTAAAAATGCCACATGAAGTAGAGTAAATAATGTATATATGTTATGAAGTATTTTTTGTTATATTTGATAGTTAAAATCTGCCAGCACCAGTTAAGTATATATGTCATATATAAATAGCATGCTGAAGTAAGTTTATAGCACACAGGCAAAAAACTCAACAACTTAACAAGATGTAACCTATATTTGGTGTTATAATGTTTTACTTGTGAGTTACTGACCAATATATGGTTTGTTAAAAGTATCAAAGATTATAAAATTTTGCAAGAGTTTGACTATGGTGATTATAAATATCTTATCATTTTTTTATTAAAAAACAAATATATAAAGGTACATGAATATATGTTAGGTATCAGTTTTTATTCCTGGTTTGCAATATGAATCAAACATGTGTTAGACTATTTGTAGGATAAATGCACCATTTACCTGTCCCTTCCCTGATGAACGATGTTTCATCTCATCTCCCTGCAGTACATGATTATTAGTGAGAGAACTGGTTCAAATAATCTTGAAATGAGTTGATAGAGAGTATAACATCAGAATTGTTTGATAAAGTTACAAGAATATTGGTGTATAACAAAACTCAAAAGTCAATGAATTGTGTCATATAACTGTTTGGTGAACAAAACATCAATTGTTAAACAACAAAACACATTTTAACATTGAACAGAGCATTCCAACACAAACATATAAAATCTTCTTTACAAATCACAAACATAAAATCTTCTCTACAAATAACAAACAGACAAAATCTTCTCTATTCAACTGTTAACTACAAATAACAAACAGACAAAATCTTCTCTAGTCAACTGTTAACTACAAATAACAAACAGACAAAATCTTCTCTAGTCAACTGTTAACTACAAATAACAAACAGACAAAATCTTCTCTAGTCAACTGTTAACTACAAATAACAAACAGATAAAATCTTCTCTAGTCAACTGTTAACTACAAATAACAAACAGACAAAATCTTCTCTAGTCAACTGTTAACTACAAATAACAAACAGACAAAATCTTCTCTAGTCAACTGTTAACTACAAATAACAAACAGACAAAATCTTCTCTAGTCAACTGTTAACTACAAATAACAAACAGACAAAATCTTCTCTAGTCAACTGTTAACTACAAATAAAAACAGACAAAATCTTCTCTAGTCAACTGTTAACTACAAATAACAAACAGACAAAATCTTCTCTAGTCAACTGTTAACTACAAATAACAAACAGACAAAACTACAAATCACAAACAGACAAAATCTTCTCTAGTCAACTGTTAACTACAAATAACAAACAGACAAAATCTTCTCTAGTCAACTGTTAACTACAAATAACAGACAGACAAAATCTTCTCTAGTCAACTGTTAACTACAAATAACAAACCGACAAAATCTTCTCTAGTCAACTGTTAACTACAAATAACAAACAGACAAAATCTTCTCTAGTCAACTGTTAACTACAAATAACAAACAGACAAAATCTTCTCTAGTCAACTGTTAACTACAAATAACAAACAGACAAAATCTTCTCTAGTCAACTGTTAACTACAAATAACAAACAGTAGTCAACTGTTAACTACAAATAACAAACAGACAAAATCTTCTCTAGTCAACTGTTAACTACAAATAACAAACAGACAAAATCTTCTCTAGTCAACTGTTAACTACAAATAACAAACAGACAAAATCTTCTCTAGTCAACTGTTAACTACAAATAACAAACAGACAAAATCTTCTCTAGTCAACTGTTAACTACAAATAACAAACAGACAAAATCTTCTCTAGTCAACTGTTAACTACAAATAACAAACAGACAAAATCTTCTCTAGTCAACTGTTAACTACAAATAACAAACAGACAAAATCTTCTCTAGTCAACTGTTAACTACAAATAACAAACAGACAAAAACAAGTTAACTACAAATAACAAACAGACAAAATCTTCTCTAGTCAACTGTTAACTACAAATAACAAACAGACAAAATCTTCTCTAGTCAACTGTTAACTACAAATAACAAACAGACAAAAACAGACAAAACTAGTCAACTGTTAACTACAAATAACAAAAACAGACAAAATCTTCTCTAGTCAACTGTTAACTACAAATAACAAACAGACAAAATCTTCTCTAGTCAACTGTTAACTACAAATAACAAACAGACAAAATCTTCTCTAGTCAACTGTTAACTACAAATAACAAACAGACAAAATCTTCTCTAGTCAACTGTTAACTACAAATAACAAACAGATAAAATCTTCTCTAGTCAACTGTTAACTACAAATAACAGACAGACTGTTAACTACAAATAACAAACAGACAAAATCTTCTCTAGTCAACTGTTAACTACAAATAACAAACAGACAAAATCTTCTCTAGTCAACTGTTAACTACAAATAACAAACAGTTAACTGTTAACTACAAATAACAAACAGACAAAATCTTCTCTAGTCAACTGTTAACTACAAATAACAAACAGACAAAATCTTCTCTAGTCAACTGTTAACTACAAATCACAAACAGACAAAATCTTCTCTAGTCAACTGTTAACTACAAATAACAAACAGACAAAATCTTCTCTAGTCAACTGTTAACTACAAATAACAAACAGACAAAATCTTCTCTAGTCAACTGTTAACTACAAATAACAAACAGACAAAATCTTCTCTAGTCAACTGTTAACTACAAATAAAAACAGATAAAATCTTCTCTAGTCAACGTTAACTACAAATCACAAACAGACAAAATCTTCTCTAGTCAACTGTTAACTACAAATAACAAACAGACAAAATCTTCTCTAGTCAACTGTTAACTACAAATAACAAACAGACAAAATCTTCTCTAGTCAACTGTTAACTACAAATAACAAACAGACAAAATCTTCTCTAGTCAACTGTTAACTACAAATAACAAACAGACAAAATCTTCTCTAGTCAACTGTTAACTACAAATAACAAACAGACAAAATCTTCTCTAGTCAACTGTTAACTACAAATAACAAACAGACAAAATCTTCTCTAGTCAACTGTTAACTACAAATAACAAACAGACAAAATCTTCTCTAGTCAACTGTTAACTACAAAAAAAAAACAGACAAAATCTTCTCTAGTCAACTGTTAACTACAAATAACAAACAGACAAAATCTTCTTCAAACAGACAAAATCTTCTCTAGTCAACTGTTAACTACAAATAACAAACAGACAAAATCTTCTCTAGTCAACTGTTAACTACAAATAACAAACAGACAAAATCTTCTCTAGTCAACTGTTAACTACAAATAACAAACAGACAAAATCTTCTCTAGTCAACTGTTAACTACAAATAACAAACAGACAAAATCTTCTCTAGTCAACGTTAACTACAAATAACAAACAGACAAAATCTTCTCTAGTCAACTGTTAACTACAAATAACAAACAGACAAAAATCAACTGTTAACTACAAATAACAAACAGACAAAATCTTCTCTAGTCAACTGTTAACTACAAATAACAAACAGACAAAATCTTCTCTAGTCAACTGTTAACTACAAATAACAAACAGATAAAATCTTCTCTAGTCAACTGTTAACTACAAATAACAAACAGACAAAATCTTCTCTAGTCAACTGTTAACTACAAATAACAAACAGACAAAATCTTCTCTAGTCAACTGTTAACTACAAATAACAAACAGACAAAATCTTCTCTAGTCAACGTTAACTACAAATAACAAACAGACAAAATCTTCTCTAGTCAACTGTTAACTACAAATAACAAACAGACAAAATCTTCTCTAGTCAACTGTTAACTACAAATAACAAACAGACAAAATCTTCTCTAGTCAACTGTTAACTACAAATAACAAACAGACAAAATCTTCTCTAGTCAACTGTTAACTACAAATAACAAACAGACAAAATCTTCTCTAGTCAACTGTTAACTACAAATAACAAACAGACAAAATCTTCTCTAGTCAACTGTTAACTACAAATAACAAACAGACAAAATCTTCTCTAGTCAACTGTTAACTACAAATAACAAACAGACAAAATCTTCTCTAGTCAACTGTTAACTACAAATAACAAACAGACAAAATCTTCTCTAGTCAACTGTTAACTACAAATAACAAACAGACAAAATCTTCTCTAGTCAACTGTTAACTACAAATAACAAACAGACAAAATCTTCTCTAGTCAACTGTTAACTACAAATAACAAACAGACAAAATCTTCTATAGTCAACTGTTAACTACAAATAACAAACAGACAAAATCTTCTCTAGTCAACTGTTAACTACAAATAACAGACAGACAAAATCTTCTCTAGTCAACTGTTAACTACAAATAACAAACAGACAAAATCTTCTCTAGTCAACTGTTAACTACAAATAACAAACAGACAAAATCTTCTCTAGTCAACTGTTAACTACAAATAACAAACAGACAAAATCTTCTCTAGTCAACTGTTAACTACAAATAACAAACAGACAAAATCTTCTCTAGTCAACTGTTAACTACAAATAAACTACAAATAACAAACAGACAAAATCTTCTCTAGTCAACTGTTAACTACAAATAACAAACAGACAAAATCTTCTCTAGTCAACTGTTAACTACAAATAACAAACAGACAAAATCTTCTCTAGTCAACTGTTAACTACAAATAACAAACAGACAAAATCTTCTCTAGTCAACTGTTAACTACAAATAACAAACAGACAAAATCTTCTCTAGTCAACTGTTAACTACAAATAACAAACAGACAAAATCTTCTCTAGTCAACTGTTAACTACAAATAACAAACAGACAAAATCTTCTCTAGTCAACTGTTAACTACAAATAACAAACAGACAAAATCTTCTCTATTCAACTGTTAACTACAAATAACAAACAGACAAAATCTTCTCTAGTCAACTGTTAACTACAAATAATAAACAGACAAAATCTTCTCTAGTCAACTGTTAACTACAAATAACAAACAGACAAAATCTTCTCTAGTCAACTGTTAACTACAAATAACAAACAGACAAAATCTTCTCTAGTCAACTGTTAACTACAAATAACAAACAGACAAAATCTTCTCTAGTCAACTGTTAACTACAAATAACAAACAGACAAAATCTTCTCTAGTCAACTGTTAACTACAAATCACAAACAGACAAAATCTTCTCTAGTCAACTGTTAACTACAAATAACAAACAGACAAAATCTTCTCTAGTCAACTGTTAACTACAAATAACAAACAGACAAAATCTTCTCTAGTCAACTGTTAACTACAAATAACAAACACAAAAAATCTTCTCTAGTAAACTGTTAACTACAAATAACAAACACACAAAATCTTCTCTAGTCAACTGTTAACTACAAATAACAAACAGACAAAATCTTCTCTAGTCAACTGTTAACTACAAATAACAAACAGACAAAATCTTCTCTAGTCAACTGTTAACTACAAATAACAAACAGACAAAATCTTCTCTAGTCAACTGTTAACTACAAATAACAAACAGACAAAATCTTCTCTAGTCAACGTTAACTACAAATAACAAACAGACAAAATCTTCTCTAGTCAACTGTTAACTAAAAATAACAAACAGACAAAATCTTCTCTAGTCAACTGTTAACTACAAATAACAAACAGACAAAATCTTCTCTAGTCAACTGTTAACTACAAATAACAAACAGACAAAATCTTCTCTAGTCAACTGTTAACTACAAATAACAAACAGACAAAATCTTCTCTAGTCAACTGTTAACTACAAATAACAAACAGACAAAATCTTCTCTCAAGTCAAATAACAAACTGTCAACTGTTAACTACAAATAACAAACAGACAAAATCTTCTCTAGTCAACTGTTAACTACAAATAACAAACAGACAAAATCTTCTCTAGTCAACTGTTAACTACAAATAACAAACAGACAAAATCTTCTCTAGTCAACTGTTAACTACAAATAACAAACAGACAAAATCTTCTCTAGTCAACTGTTAACTACAAATAACAAACAGACAAAATCTTCTCTAGTCAACTGTTAACTACAAATAACAAACAGACAAAATCTTCTCTAGTCAACTGTTAACTACAAATAACAAACAGACAAAATCTTCTCTAGTCAACTGTTAACTACAAATAACAAACAGACAAAATCTTCTCTAGTCAACTGTAAACAACAAATAACAAACAGACAAAATCTTCTCTAGTCAACTGTTGTTAACTACAAATAACAAACAGACAAAATCTTCTCTAGTCAACTGTTAACTACAAATAACAAACAGACAAAATCTTCTCTAGTCAACTGTTAACTACAAATACAAAATAACAAACAGACAAAATCTTCTCTAGTCAACTGTTAACTACAAATAACAAACAGACAAAATCTTCTCTAGTCAACTGTTAACTACAAATACAAAATCTTCTCTAGTCAACTGTTAACTACAAATAAAAACAGACAAAATCTTCTCTAGTCAATGTTAACTACAAATAAAAACAGACAAAATCTTCTCTAGTCAACGTTAACTACAAATAACAAACAGACAAAATCTTCTCTAGTCAACTGTTAACTACAAATAACAAACAGACAAAATCTTCTCTAGTCAACTGTTAACTACAAATAACAAACAGACAAAATCTTCTCTAGTCAACTGTTAACTACAAATAACAAACAGACAAAATCTTCTCTAGTCAACTGTTAACTACAAATAACAAACAGACAAAATCTTCTCTAGTCAACTGTTAACTACAAATAACAAACAGACAAAATCTTCTCTAGTCAACTGTTAACTACTAACAAACAGACAAAATCTTCTCTAGTCAACTGTTAACTACAAATAAAAAACAGACAAAATCTTCTCTAGTCAACTGTTAACTACAAATAACAAACAGACAAAATCTTCTCTAGTCAACTGTTAACTACAAATAACAAACAGACAAAATCTTCTCTAGTCAACTGTTAACTACAAATAACAAACAGACAAAATCTTCTCTAGTCAACTGTTAACTACAAATAACAAACAGACAAAATCTTCTCTAGTCAACTGTTAACTACAAATCACAAACAGACAAAATCTTCTCTAGTCAACTGTTAACTACAAATAACAAACAGACAAAATCTTCTCTAGTCAACTGTTAACTACAAATAACAAACAGACAAAATCTTCTCTAGTCAACTGTTAACTACAAATAACAAACAGACAAAATCTGTTAACTACAAATAACAAACAGACAAAATCTTCTCTAGTCAACTGTTAACTACAAATAACAAACAGACAAAATCTTCTCTAGTCAACTGTTAACTACAAATAACAAACAGACAAAATCTTCTCTAGTCAACTGTTAACTACAAATAACAAACAGACAAAATCTTCCACAGTCAACTCTACAAATAATAAACATATTGTCTACCAAAACAATCAAACAAAGGATGCAACGGTACATGCACTAATCCAGGTGAAATGTTATATACATTGAGATCATGAACCTGCAGCCTGTCCCACCACAAATGGACATATTTTGACCCAGTCTTGTAATATCTTGTGATACCTAATTGTACTTTTTAGTTTATGTTACTGCTCTGGAACTCAATAATACAAATGATGGTGATGCCTATTTTGCATTTCTGTTATATAATCATCCATTTGAATCTATCTTCTACATTCTTATTCCTAATATTATTATTATCTGTTATCTTTAATTTTGATTGATGTGTCTGTATACTTGTTTATGCACTGTAAGGAGAGGGCTTTCATAGGCTCTGCCTGTTGCCCAATTCCTATTGTCAATACCACCAAGACAATAAAACATTCTGAAATCGAAATCATGACACTAGTTTTTGGATTACTTACATACTGACTATGCTCCACTTTGGCATCCTTGGAGCCAACATATTCATACACAAAACAGATATTAGGATGGTCTAGTACTGAGTAGTTGTTCCCCACATCTACAAACAGACCTGTAAAAAACATACACCTGTTAATAATATTCACCTTTCAAAATAAATTTTAAAAGTTAAAAGGAACAAGATGAGCAGACTTGTAAAACATAAACACCAGGAGATCTCATTAAAACGAAAATAAAGGGACATAATCTTTGAAATGGGGAAAGAATAGACTATGAATAAAGTTGCCCAATAACAGAATTCATTGATCATTAAAATGTTTCATTAAAATTGGTAATATCTTAATGTGATTCTGAAGATACACAAAGGTTGATTGAACTGGAAATTGTAACAGAAAGAAACAACTGAAAATTTCATGAAAGGTCAACAAATTACTATTTCTTACACATAAAATTCTACTTTTGTGTTTGACCCGTTTATTACCTATGATGAGTTCACAGTACTTTGCTCGTATGATGTCAGGGAGCTGTTCAGCAGTCATACACAGATACGCATCCTCCCAGGTCAGGTAACCATACTCTCGTGTGATCACAAAACCAGCAAAGTCATTACGACCCTGGTAAAATGAAAGCAAAATTTCAGTAAAACACAGTGAAAACCTCCTCTTCTTTACTTGAGATGACATTTCAAAATTAGATAAGGAAACAGTTGTACACAGAGAGAAGTTAATTACCCCAAAAAATCTGTAAAAAAATGTTTCCTCTTGTTATTGAAAATTATTTCTCTGTTGATCTCAAGCAAATGAAAGATGCACTAAACAGTGAGTAAGCTGTAGACTTACAAAGCACAGAGCCTTGAATAGATCAAGCTGGTGTAACAGGAATTTGTAGTCATCCTCCACAAAATCTGGCCCCTCTGTCTGTAACATACAAGTGAAGATATCAGATACTGTCCCTTATGTAGTACCATATTCAATCTATATGCATCAATAAACATACAGTAAAAGCTATGATTTTGTAAGACTATATCTTTTGCAGTGCCAAAGAAAAACTTTTTGTATATCATTTTTCTCTTTTCTTCAACTTCCTGGTAAATGATGGCACAATAAACCAATAAACAGATACCATACATATTCCTTGTTATTCGTCAAACCAGAATTTTGTAATGACAAAATACTTACATCTACAAATACATTGAGAGGTACCCATCCCTTGGCCCCATCTGTTGACACATACACAATGTTTGGACGTTTGTTGATGTTTTGTCCTCGATCCATCATGTACACACTTGTCTACACAAAGATAAAACAAAATTAATGCTGTAAAGCTATAAAATCATTACCCAGCAAATTAGCAATATCTTCTGACTAAACACCCAACGACAGATTATTAATTAATTAATCTATTAATTAATTTATCAATTAATTGAAAACAACAAAATTAGATTTTGATGACCACAAAGAGAATTTTTTTTCATTCTCTCTGGAAATCTAGGTTACCTGATGACCTCACCTTGTACGTATGATGTTGGTTCATGTAACACTATAGGACTTTGAGAATTTAGAAACAGTTGAGGACCTCACTTTGCATTTGTGATGCTGATTTATCTAAACCTCTAAGACAGATAAACAAGGAAAAGTAGAGGTTTTATCTAACAATGTAAGACTCTTAAAAACTAGGAATAGTGTAAGGCCTCACTTTGCACTTGTGATGCTACTTTATCTAACACTATAAGACTGATAAACTAGATAAAGTTGAGGACCTGACCTTGTACTTGTGATGCTACTTTATCTAACACTATAAGACTCTGATAAACTAGATAAAGTTGAGGACCTGACCTTGTACTTGTGATGCTACTTTATCTAACACTATAAGACTGATAAACTAGATAAAGTTGAGGACCTGACCTTGTACTTGTGATGCTACTTTATCTAACACTATAAGACTCTGATAAACTAGATAAAGTTGAGGACCTGACCTTGTACTTGCGAAGCCATTGCTCCACTATATAGCTTTGATTGTTGGGGATGGCCACCCCATCACACACACACAACACTTGTAACAAGTCCAGAAATCTGTAGTTCTGCAACATGAAAATCAACCTCATAAAACAAGGAACTATGTAGCATTAAAACTGATAAAACAATCATAATTTTAGACAGGTTGTCTTTAACATACGACATTGGAAACAAATCAAAGCATTAACCTACTCAGTCCTCCAAATTAGATATAAATCCTGAACTGTCATTTTCTAATTGGATTTTTATAATCAATTTTAATTCCGGTAAAGATATTTACTGTTCTCTCTATATAACGAGAACCTGAATCATAACATTTACACAGTAGCAAATTTGGTCTTGATAAAAATAAGTCAAAATATTTAAACACTTTTTAAAAAAAAAACATTAAGAAAACTGAAGAACAGAAAGTTTTTATTACTAACATGGTTTTTGATGAGAAGTTGAATGAATGTATCAATGTGTTTCTTTGTGATTCTGTCTACTATTTTGCGTTTGTCCCGGATCAGCTCAACGATCATCTGGGCCACATTAAGACCAATACCTCCCTGTAAACAATTAAATCAACAACATATAAATCAACTGCAGACACATATACCATCAGATGTAAAACAAGTGAACAATATTTTTACGATTTCAGTTATGACATTAAATTCAACATCAACAAGCTCCTCTGATCTATCTGCAGAAGATTTCTGATCAGGGGAAATAATCCAATTGTCTTCCCTAAATTTTACCTTCTGGGTGAACTGAGTTTGGAAGAAGTCAATGTACTTTGCAAAGTAGAGAGCATTTTTGCGACTTTTGCCAATCATGTACGCATGGAGCACATCATAGGCTTCCTTAAATATCCTGATCATGTGACTCTCCTCATCGCCCTCCCGTAAACGACACTGTAGTAAGTTGACTAAGATGTCTATCACCTGTAAGGGGAGATAAATCAATAGATAACGGAGATAACATGCTAGAACATATGAATGTATAATATGCAGGAGTCATATCACTAAGATCTCGTTAACAACAACATCCAGATTTGAAGAATATCAATGTTAATTTAGTGGTTTTTTCAATACATATATCATAGATCATATTTTGAAAAAATAAGATAGAAATGCTTTTGAAACATTTGAAATACAACTGGAGTACAATATCAATTTACTAGTAAGATCATCCTACCCTTAGATTCCTCATCAACTTCTGTCTGTTTTTGTCTGGCTGTCCTTGAGGCACCATGAAGTTCTTTAACTCTTGTAACGCCTACAAATGAGATATACAACTTTCATTCTGTCTTTATCATTCATCAAAGTTGAAGGTTTCCTATAGCTTCTAACCTCACCATGGGCAGCACTATTTGTCCTTTTACTGGTAACTCCCTAAGCAAATAGGTACATGCTTTTCAAAGATATATATGAAACTGACTATTGTTTTTCTATTTACAGCATACGTTTACATTTGATTTGGATGTAAATTCAATAACTGCAACAGATATTCAAGCATTTAATTGCTTTTCTGTAAGATTAGATTATGGACACACAATTCAACCTTTTAGGTGCATACAGTTTTCTTGAGAATTGAACATTTTATCTGAAAACTAGCAAACTTACGTAAACATCTACAATACCTACGGAGAAAGTACATGAAATCATCAACTTACCACGATAATACCATGTGTTTTCTTGGCATTCAGCTGGGTTGCCAACTGTAGCTAGAAGGACAAGCAGTCTTTATAAACAATTGTGGCACAGAGAGGCAATTTCAAAACACATGCATTTTTCTTTCTTTCAAATACAGCTATGTGCTTATTGAGTCAATCAGCTTGATATCTCCAAGCAGGTATACCCATGCCCATCCACATCTACTGCTGTTTAGAAGTAATATGGATGGTAAAAATCCTTACCCCACTTTGAGAAGTGGTTCAGTGTTGTGCCCCTGTGTCCTGTAATATCTCCAAGTCAATGCATACTTTGCAGTATAAGGTATGTTATGCAGAAAATTGATATAAATTACATACTTTATTGGTATTTTTTTTTCAATTTTTGTTTAGGTCTAAAACATTAAGTAAAATCTGAAACCATTACATATTGATATCATAACTTTGGAACCCCTTGATCGTCGGACTGTGTCTCACCATATTACTGATAGTAAAGACTTACATCTTGGATTAGATTAAACAGGAACGGCACCATTCCAGCGACAAAGTTAAAATTTGATGTGTCAAGTTTGACCACTTCCTGTATCGTGTAGGCGTCATCATACATGCTCTCACTGCTCGCTGACACCTGACAGAACGGAGAGAGAAAGAAGTTCAGAAATGTTCTATCCTACAGTGTCAGAAAAATTTAGGAAATGAAAGTATTGAGACGTATGTCTGAGGGTTTTTCTAAGAAATCTTTGGGATTCATAATTAGCCAAATATCAATACACATCATACAAAAGTTGTTTTTAAATTAGTAAATCTCTCATCGATCAAAAAATGTTCTGCAGGCACAGCTGTTGAACATTTTAGAACAAAATCTCTTCAATGAATTTCAGTTTCAATGAAATCAACTGCTTAAGACTTCTTAGCACTGTAAACCCCACCTTCCTGACAGAAGCTGTGTCCCATCGTAAGCCCTGCATAGACCTCTCACCATTATCCTCCATCCCACGCCGTTCATAATCCTCATCTGTAAGGCCAACAAACTACATGATTACAAATTATTGATTAAGCATTACATATATCTACTTTAAAATGTAAGCCATAAGAACATAGTTTTTGTTAAATTTTATCATAGTACTTACCTACTGGTCAATAACACATTTCAATATCAATCTATATTCTACATTCTCACCTGTCGTCTAAGGGTCATCTAACATTCTAACCTGTCATCTAATGGTCATCTAACATTCTCACCTGTCTCCTGATGGTCATCTAACATTCTCACCTGTCTCCTAAGGGTCATGTATCTCTGACCTGTCCTTACACATATCTCCCACATGTTTCCACTTGATGTCATGTCCTCCACAGTTTCCATGTATCTATATTTCTCACATGTCTCTACAGATCTCGCCTGTTCTTTTCAGTTTTTTCTATGTCTACAATTTTACATATTTCCCACAATTTTCAAATGTGACCTGCTGCTCCAACCCATTTCACTTAGTTTAGTCTCCTAAAGTTCTTCTATATCTCTATATTTCCATCAGTAATCTATTACCTAGTTTTCACAGGTCTACATTTCTCAGCTGTCATCTAGTTTTCACTGACCTACATTTCTCACCTGTCATCTAGTTTTCACTGACCTACATTTCTTACCGTCACCTAGTTTTCACTGACCTACATTTCTCACCTGTCACCTAGTTTTCACTGACCTACATTTCTCACCTGTCACTTATTGTTGGTTAGTTACGACACAAAATGTACAGAGATATCATTTGGGATTAGCTTTCAGATTTGTTCAGATTAAACAACCTTAACAAAATAAACAGATCACCTTTGATTCATTTTATAATATATAATTTGTTTTTGTCCACTTCATGACCCAAAGGAAACAAACATTTACTTTCCTACCTTGATAACTTGTTCATTTCTTTATTTATGTTTCATCATGAATCTCTTCAGTACTGAATCAATTGAATGTCAAGGAATAAGGAATAACATCAAAGCTTCATGATCTTCAGGAGTAAACATTGCAGTACAGTATCATCTACTCTGAACAACCAATTAATTAATTGACTTTTAATTATCATTTAACAATGATAAACAATTCCTTTTATCATCATGTCTCAACAACCCCCCAACCCCCCCACCCCACCCCCCACCCACACACACACACAAAAAAGAGGGTTGGGGTGGGGTTCAATTACTTCTAATTCCAAACATTTTGTTTTCTATCAGATAGTTATTTTAGTTAGATAAATTGAATTTTGTTGAAATATGATCACATAGTGAAAATCAAATTATGTCTTTATGTACTTTTAAATTTGGTTATACATGTATACATATATATATATAAGACAATGATGGAGTCTCTAAATACATCTCAATAATCATCCATTCATTGATTCATCCAGGCAGTAGTGGTTTTCCATGTTGATAGTGATGTCTGAACACTGGAACTCAACATCATGGACTCGTTAAAAACATATCAGAAACGTACTATCAGACACACCCAGCTGTTCATAATAGACATTCTGAGTTATTTCCCCTTACTTCACTTTTTATCAATCACTCCCAGTGCAGGTTCAAGTTTGATGCTACAATATCACATGATCCACTATACAAAGATGCATTATATCATATTGTTCTTGGCATGGGGGAAATGCAAGGGTTCAAAGGCTCAGAAATACATTACCGGTAAGTATTTTTGGCAAAAATATAAAAGACTACAGAATGAAATTCTCAATTGCCCATACAAAGGACAATCAAATCCTCTGTTTCAAAGGCTAGATGAAATACCATAAAATAACGGTAAAATACCTAGAGGTCTTGTTTACAAAATGGAACGTGAATTGAACGGAAGCGGTTGTCACCCAATAAACTCATACCAAATCTTGAGGGCGATGGCTATTTGGTACTTGCACACAAATTAAATAATGTATACATTACTGATTCTATCACAGCAGCCTCGGTAAATCTTTGTGAATTTGGCCAAGTCTCAAACTTAAACAAGTGAAGTAACAATATATACAAGGTTATTATAGTTACCCCAGTATGTTCTTAAGAAGACGTTTTCAGGAAACTGTTACAGTCTATCAGATTGTGGTAGCTCCATTTTATTTCCAATGTTAAGTATCACACTCAAATTACGGTCTTGGAAATACACCAAGCAATTATCAAAAGATCTTTTTTTTTCATCAAAAGGCATCTTTAAAAATATCTGCATGGAACCAAAGATTGTGATCAAATATTAAGGTTAAGGTATATAAACCAGGTTTACACAGACAAATTACCAGGCTACAACATACAATATAAGCACTTTGTACAAGTGTATGTGAGCTAATCTCAAAGTTTAAAAAGTTCAAAAGTTTAAGCAACTGGAAGTAGAAGCAATCTGAAATCAAATACTAAAGGGAAAGGGTTTAGTCTTGTGTATGGAAACTTCCAGTGTAGGGAACTGAGTTAGAGGCCATAATGATAATAATAGGGGATTTTGATGGGTGCCACTGTGAAAAAACAGGGAAAACAGACATTTCTGTTGTGTGCCTAGACCAGAAATCTAACGCGGGTCTCTGGTGTGATAACCAGCTGGCTCTACCAAATGAGCCAAACTGACCCGTGGCTTTTACACATGGTCAAATCTGATTTGGTCAATTCCCAACACTGGTCACTCCTAATCAGTCTCATACAGCCTCCATAAAGCAGGTCAATTTGTTGAACTTCTATTTCAATCAATAATCATTACAAATGGAATTATAGATAACTTTTATCAAACAAAACATTCACCAGGTATTAATGCTATCTATGAATGAGACAACTTATCGCACAATTACTTGACTGTGAATCTCTGTTTTTCTTTGTAGATAAGCTCAACTTGAAAAATCTTTCAATCAATGATGACCAGACTGAGTAGAAGATCTGATTCTCATAAACGAGCATGGGACACAGTAAACTCAGCTAACTGGAATATAGCCAAATTCATGAAATGTATACAAATTGCCATGAACAAACCAGGATAGGATTTCCAGTACTCCCAGGTACATTATAAACAATGGAAGGAAGAACTTTATGATCTGGCAGAGACAGACACCTCAACTCAACAATGATGCAACGGATAGGGACCACATCATTACTGAGAAGATTCTTACACAGACTACAATAAACATGGCGACATCCATGGATTCTGATGTTGACACCTTGGAACTCATGTGTCTACTTTCAATTAACTCTGTACAGCAGACCATCAGGGTCTTTCAAAAAACAAAGGACAACAATACCATGATCCCAATATATCGGGGAATAACTTAACAATTGGCCCATGAATATCTAGCCATCAGGAAAGTACTGGGGCCAGCAGACACATGAATACAATCACATTTTCAAAATGCCTCCCATATTTAGAAGTGGTCAAATTAAAACAAACATGTAGTATACCCTCAACATACCACCACCTTTGGTCCACATCTATTTTTGCAGTATAACAAGCAATGCACAGGGTATTAGATCAATCGTTAATAGATCAATAGTTTTATTTGAGGCAAATACAAGTGTATATCATCAATTCACAGCTATATTTACTATATTGTCACACAAATAAAGATCATCCTATCAGAGAGGGCCATGATAAAAATCTACCACACCTCATTATACCCACACCTAGACAACGGGAAAGTTTCCCACCACAAGGAATACAGCATCAACATCAATAAAGATCCTAGACTTCAGAAACCACTCACTATAAGCCAAGCCAATTTATAACAGCACTTGGGAAGTACAAGAGGACAATTTGTGTTCCCCACATGTAGGATGGAACTTGACAACTATTGTGGACATTGTGTATAGGGACAAATTTTACAACCACTACTGCTAGTTTTCAGTTCAAGTTGCAGTTGCTAGGAAGGACAACACCAAAGTTGATAGGGCCCTCAAAGAAAACCCAACTCTAAGCTATGGTCATGGGGAATGCCAGAGTGAATTCGCCATGAATGGTGTTTCATAACATCACACAATATTTCATTCTGTTCTCAACAGAAATACAGCAAATCATTTCATTAACGGTAAAAGCCATTCCCAGCAAAATCACCAGTCAGCAACAGGTGAAGACATGGACAAATGTGGGAGACAAAAGGAGAAGATAAAGGGTTTAGAACATATGTATCAACTACAATATAGGAAGATGTACCCGTTGAGATAACTGCTTCTCAACCAGTCAGGGAGCAGAGAATTGTAAAAACAGTTATCATGAACAGGCAGCAATCCAACATGTCAGACAACACAAATATACACCAGTCACAAATCACAATGACTAAGTGATGGTGACGAAACTATAGGTGTATTATACACACCATTTAATATAGAACGCCTTAGATATAACAGAGTGTACACCTAGACCAAACATCTGTAGAATACTTACATAATGGACCGTTAGAAGGGTTTGACACACTGATATGTGAATTTCAATTAGTTACGTAGGAACAGAAACACCTTCTAATAGCAACTGGAAGTGGTAGAATCTCTTATACAGGATGAGAAATGGGGTTTTACAAGGCCTTTCACTCTATGTCAAACTGCAGCCAATAACTGAGCGATAAGATGTTAAAATTTGCTTTCATAGAAATTAATTAATCTCTTTTGTTAAGTGATAGTTCTTAAACCAGACATATAAAAAATCTCATCACGATAAAAAACATCAGTCATATATAAAAAATCTCATCACGATAAAAAACATCAGTCAGATATAAAAAATCTCATCACGATAAAAAACATCAGTCAGATATAAAAAATCTCATCACGATAAAAAACATCAGTCAGATAGAAAAACTCATCATGATAAAAAACATCAGTCAGATAGAAAAACTCATCATGATAAAAAAACATCAGTCAGATAGAAAAACTCATCACGATAAAAAACATCAGTCAGATAGAAAAACTCATCATGATAAAAAACATCAGTCAGATAGAAAAACTCATCATGATAAAAAAACAAACCTTGAATGGATTGAACAGTCATTACATGGTATTCATGGTTGT